CAGGAGGTCGTGTCTGAACAGTCGCAACTCTGGGTGGCGGGGGGGGGGGGGCGGCAGGGGCTGCCTTCGGCATCAGGTCATGGGAAGTGTGCGCGCGCTGTCGGCCAAGTGCCGTATCCCTGGCTTCCCACGCGACGGCATTCGACCCGCCTCGCGTGCCTGTAGGCCTTGGCTCCCCCACCGGCCCATCCAGGAACGATGGCTTCCCGCGGGGACAACCAAAGTTGTCGGCTATGAGCCGCAGCCCTGACGGCGGGCATCTTTATGACCCCAGGCGGCCGTCTGCCGCAACCCTGGTGCACCGAGACCCCCTGGTGTACTGAGATCACAAAACGCTGGGCAGCCGTTAGCTGCACCCCGACGAGGACTCTGGCGGCGAGGGGTCCGCGTGAGCTCCCAGCCAGCAGCTTGAGCTCGGGTCACAGCAGCGCCCGACGGCTGCGACCCGCGAGTGCCTAGTGAGCGTCGGTGCCTGGTCGCGTGGCCCCCCTCTTCGCCGCGAGTGGACGCAGCTCGGCTGTCCGGCAGAGGCCCCCTTGGAGACACCGGGCCCGTCAGGCCAGGAAGGAACTAAACTGTGCAGTGCGTTCAGGCGGCAGCGCGTTGGGTGGCGGCGGGGGCGGCCGCGGCAGCCCTCGGCATTAGGTAATGGGGAGCGACTCGTGCAGACGGCCATCAGCCGTATCCTTGGCTTCCCCACGCGACGGTGTTCGTCCCGCCCCGCGTGCCTGGTGGTCTCATGTATCCCCACCTGCCCATCCTAAAACGGTGCCCCGGTCGTTTTTCGCGCCCCGGCGTCTACGGTTCTCGTGGCAGCCGTCCGCTGCACCTTGGTTCTCCAATTTTTTACGCAGCTGTCTGCTGCACCCTGGCTACATGTATGGATCTTACAAGAACATCGGGCCGTCCGCCGGATCCGTAGCAGGCATGGCAGTCAGGCGGCCACGAGCTGGGATGTCACAAGAAGGAGATGTGGGTGATGCGGACGGGCATCAAACACCCAGAGTAGCATCTCCCACTGTCGAGTACCTCCTGCCTCGAGGGCTTCCAGCAGCACCTGCGCGCAACGGACAAGCCCCCAGACGCTCGCCCCAAGCCATGTGCAGCGGCGCAGGCCAAGGAGCGACCGTCAGAGCGGTTGCCTGCGAGGCAGAGGAGTGCTGCACCAGTGGCGAGGGCGACGAGTGCTACTAGAAGGTGGAGTGGGCGATGCGGCCTGGCATCCCAAAACATCCGGAGCGGCCCCTCTGTCGTTCAACGCCAGTTTCGCGAACTTCCAGCAGCACTTGCACGGCGTGGACAGGTCTCCGATGTTGTCCCAAGCCATGTGCGTCGGCGCAATGCGAGGTGCGTCCGATAGTGCAGTTACCTGCAGCGCCCGAGGAGTGCCGCACCAGCGTCGCGGGCGACGAGTGCTACGAGGAGGTGGAGTGGGCGATGCGGGCGGGCATCCAAAAACACTGGAGCGGTATTTCCCTCTGACGTGCATCTCCAGCTTCGAGGACTCCCAGCAGCACTCGCACCGCATGGGCTCCGACGATCTGCCCATGCCAGGCGCAGCGGCGCAGTCCGAGGTGCGGATCCGGACAAGTTTTGGGGCCCCGATGCCTACAGCTTTGCATGTTGGTACTCCAAGGCCTACAGGAATACATGTCGATGACCTGCTCACGTCGGCTACCCTGGATACGAGCAATTTGTCGTTATTGCCAGCCTGGTGCACTTAGTGCCGGGCATCCAAGACATCCGGGCGGGCATCCGAAACATCCGGAGGGTCCCTCAGTCGAGTACTCCAGCTTCGAGGGCTCCCAGCAGCACTTGCACGGCGTGGACAGGTCTCCGACGCTGTCCCAGGCCATGTACGTCGGCGCAGACCGAGGAGCGTCCGATAGTGCAGTTAACCATTGCTTCAGGAGTGCCGCACCAGCGTCGAGGGCGTTGAGTGCTACGAGAAGGTGGAGTGGGCCATGCGAGCCGCGACGGCTTTTGACCCGCCTCGCGAGCCTGTGGGCCTCGGTTCCCCCACCAGGCCATCCAGAAACGATGGCTTCCCGCGGGGACAACCAGAGTTGTCGGCTATGAGCCGCAGCCCTGACGGCGTGCATCTTCATGACCCCAGGCGGCCATCAGCCGCAACCCTGGTGTCCCGAGACCCCTTGGTGTACTGATATCACAAAACTCTGAGCAGCCGTTAGCTGCGCCCCGACGAGGCACCACGCTGGCGGCGAGGGATCCGCGTGAGCTCCTGGCCAGCAGCCGCATCCCTGGCCGCATGTTCCGTTGCTCCCTGGCGGGGAGGGGATCCGCGAGAGCTCAAGGTACTCTTGCACCCTGGTGCCCCAGCCCTCCTCGCGGCTCGGGCTGTCCGTGCGGGGCTCCCTCGCACTTTTGCAGCCTTGTGTACGTGGGCGATCAAGGCACCCTTGCCTCCCCGTGCCCGAGCGCTGCAGAGGGCAGGCCCGTGCTTGGAGAGTTGTCGGCTATGGGCCGCAGCCCTGGCGGCGTGAGATCGTCAAGGCTCCAGGCGGCGCCTGACTCGCGACTGTAGAGGCCTCGGCCACCCTGGAAGCAGCTGCTTTGAGAAGGCAGACGGCCCCCGCCGCACCCCTGACTGCTGCTCAGGAGAGGAACCGGCGCAGCCGTCCCTCCCTCCCGACAGGAACAGGCACGGGTAGGGTCCAGCGCTGGCCCCAGGTTTGTCACGCCGCTGGCGCCTGACGGGAACCAGTCTTACCCTGGCGGCAGGGCGGCCGCGTGGCAGGAGAAGGACAGATCCTCGGCGTTGCAGTCATGCCCTCTGGCGAGGGCGAGGCGTGACAGCCTTCGGGAGGCGCCCCCCTCTCGCTGCAGCAGCTGCGGCCCCCCTGGATGTTTATCATCACTGGACAGCCGTTAGCTGCACCCCTGGTAACCTCGGCACGCCTGCAAATACAGCGATGCCACTAACGCAGGCAGGACGCCGACACCGGGGCCAGCAGGTCGACAGTAGGCAGCGCTTCCCTGGGGAAAGCTCTGCCCGCACCTCGCCCTTGCTGAGTGGGCGCTCGAAGACGTTTGCCGAACTCTGAGCAGCCGTTAGCTGCATCCCTGGATCATGGGCCCGGGCTCCCGCCCTCTCCCTGTGCTAAACTCCGAGCAGCCGGAACACGGGCCCTGGCTCCGGCCCCTCTCCCTTTTCCTGTCTGGCGCCGGGTGTCCCTGGCGGGCCCCTCCATGTGGCCGGCTGGCGATGTTTGCCCCCGCCGCCCCACCGCAGCAGGGTCCCACACGGGCAGGGTGGCCTGTCAGAACCCCGTGACCTTGCGTCGCAATGTGGGTGATCGCCTTCTGGCGCTGTCGCCCCCTGGTGCCTATTCCGGCCGCGCTGGCGACGTCCATCCCCGCCTGTCTGGCTCCTTTTCCGCGCAATACGCGGTTCTCTGCGACGCTACGTCGTGACCGTGTGGCCATGGGCCGGGCCCTCAGGTACCATCGCCTTCGGGCCGGTCCGTTGCCCTGCTCGGGACTGGTATGTTCCCCTGGTTACGTGCATGGCGTCTCGGAGTGGTCCAGCCTTCCGTCGGACGCTGTGCTTCCATCCTCGTTCCGTCCCAGCCGAGCCCAGGCAGGTCTACGCCGTCGACCCGGCCCTGGCCCTTGGCGCCCCCCTGGCGACAGGACCATTGTGCACCTTGCTTTTCCCCACTGCAGCGTCTGGGAGCAACTCGTTCCACCTGCGTGGTCTGACGCCGCAGCGCGTAACACCGAATTCCCTGGCATTTTGCTTGGGCTGCACGATGCTCGAGCTTCCCTGGGTGCCAGATTAGCCAGCCAGCCCCGCCCTGCTGCCCCAGCTGTCGCCTTGTGAGCTGGCCCGGCCGGTCTGAGGCGCGCCCAGCAGCTAATTAGGTTTGCCCGTCGGCCCGGACACTTCTGTTTGCCGCCTGCGCTCTTCGCTCGCGGCCGCGACCAAAAAAAATATCCCCACCAGCGAGGCGACGCTTAGGCAGCCAGGTGTTTAGGTTACGCCGCTCTAGCTTGCTCTTGTTTTTATGAGTAGGCCCGCGCCCCGGACTTTCGACTCGCCGCTTGCGCTCTCGCCTGCGGCTGCGACCAAACAAATATCCCCACCAACCCATCCAGAATTGATTGCCAGTTTTCTTGAGGCCTCTTTGGAGGCTATCTTGAGCCATGCTCGGTTATTGGTTGTCGGAGGCTATCTTGAGCCATGCTCGGCTATCTTGGACCATCTTGAGGCTGTTTTGCAGTTTCTTGGAGGTCTGTCGGAGGCTATATTGAGCCATGCTTGGCTATCTTAAGCAATTTTGAAGGCCATCTTGGGCTATCTAGGGCTTTCTTGGAGCCATCTTGGGCCAAAAATGGCGGGGTGGAGGGTCTTTGGGAGAGGCTGGAAGGCCTCTTGGGGCCATCTTGGGCCCCATGTTTCAAAAAGAGGAGGTTCCTTAATTAGGATCCCCCCCTCGGAGGCTCTCAAACGGCGTCTTGGGGCCGTTTTGGAGCGCTCTTGGGCGCCTCTTGGGCGATCTTGGGGCCGTCTTCGGCCTTCTTGGGCTCCTCTTGGGGCCCTTTGGGGCCACCATGGTGCCATCTTGAGGCTTCCAAGGCCCATCGGAAGCGAAAAGGCGAGAATGCCAAACACATTGATTTTCCCATGGCTTTTCAAGGGTTTTGGCATCTTGGAGAGCGCCGTGGAGGGCTCGAAGGGCACTTGGATCCGTCTTGGGGCTGTCTTGGGGCCTCTTGGGGGTAGGTCGGAGGCTATCTTGACCCATCTTGAAGTAACATGGGCCATCTTGGAGGCCATCTTGCGACTTTGAACGCCTCTTGGAGCAATATTGGGCATCTTGGACGCTCTAACGCCTCGCGGCGCGCCCCGTCCAGGCCCAGGGGAAGGGGTAGGGGGAGGGGCTTCAGTGGAAGACAACAGAAAAAACGCGTTATACCTAAGCCCAGAGGGCTGGTGGGATTCTCTCCCTCCTCATCGGCCCTGCCGCCCGCGGGAGGACTCGGGCCGGTTCAACCAGGCGGACGAGTTCGACGACTACGGGGAGGACGACAGAAGCAGGATGAGGAACCCACGAGCCGACGACCCTGAAGAGGACAGCCGTCGTCCTCTCCCTCCTCTCGAATCTCTTGCTCTTCCCCGCCCCCACCCCGTGGTCATTCGCGTACCTCCTCCTCCTCCTCCTTCTCCTGCTTCTCTCCTCTCTCCTAGCTCGCTCGAGAAGAGATGCCCCTGCTCTGCCACCTGGCCAGCAAGTGGTGGCCGCATCGGGGCGATTCCGCGGCAAAGGGCGAAAACATATTGTTACCTTCTCGGATCCGCGCCCGCGTGTCATGCGAACAAAAGTCCCGACTCGGCGCAGCGCGCCACCTCGGCAGCTAGCTCATCATCCGTCGGCGCGCGAGGGGACGGAAGTGTTGCTCTCACCTCGCCGCTGGGCAGATGTCGCGCCTGTTTGTCGCATCCCCCCCCAGCGCGGCGCATAGCTCATCACTCGCTACGTCTGTTTGGGCACGCCGCGCGCGAGCGGGCGACTTGTCGCCCTCGCCCAAGCTCAATCGATGCTTCGCCAAAAAGTGGCGCTCCCGTGTGGGCGCGCCCCGCGTTTCGCTGCCCGCATCGCGTGAAAACATAGCAGCGGCGACGGTACCTGCTCGAGCACGGGCGAAAAGGGTGCCCTCGCCCTGACGCCGCGCAGCTTCCGTAGGACCGTGGCAATGATGTTTCTGCGCCGCGCATCCTTCGTCGGCGCCGCGCTTACAGGAAGCTCCATCGCCCAAAAGAAGGCTGAGCTGAGCTCTCACCGCAGCGCCGCACAAGGATTTTCCCGTGCGCGGCCCGCGCTGCTTCCACTCGCCAAATCGTTGGACGCCAGACCACGCGCGAGCGCCGTGCAATCTCCACGTGGGGACGCGTTCCAGTCCCACCGGCAAGGTGTGCCATCAGTGATTCCTACATCATGGGAGGGGCGGTGAGACTGGGTGGGGTGGCCCCATGGCTACGTACGTCGACTCTCCTCCCACTCCTACTCCTCCCCCGCCTCCCACTCCTCGCACCCCTGCTCCGGCTGTCCCCCGCCTCCGCCCCCTGGTGGCGGGGGCCAGGCGGTCTCGAGCGCGGTCTCCGCGGAGAGTGCGAGCAGGGCCGTCTGGACTCGCACCGTCTGGAGGGCCGCTTCTCCCGGGCTGCTCCCCATGTGCGCCGCGCCGCGGGACCCGGACCTCCGGGACCTCCCGCTCTTTCTCCCCGCTCCCCCGTCCCGCCTCCCCTCGTGAGCGAAAGCATCTCCGTCTCCGCGCCCCCGCGTGCCGCGTCCGCACAACCAAGTGGATTTGTGTCTGGAGGGCCCCCTCGGGGGAGAGCCCGCCAACCTCGGCAAGAACGCTGTGGTTGTGGTTGTGGCCGCGTTGGCCGTCTGGGACGCCCGCATCGACCACAGTCAGTACTACGGTGGCTTCGGTGCTCTGTCAGGCGCTACTAGCATGTGCGAACCATCCTCCAGGGTGCGTCCTTGATGCGATGATGGTCGCTTGCGAGACCCCCGACGTCCATTACGTCGACCCTCAGAGGTCTCGAACCGTTCCCTGAGACCGGCTTTTCATCCTGAGTCTTTGTGTCACGCTCCCGGGGCCGAGCGAGGGCACAGAGGCCGAAAAGAGCAGCAGCAACAACAACAACAGCACAAATATGAATGTTGTTGATTATGACCCGGGGTGGACTGGGTTGTGGTCCCCGCAGCCCCTCCCGGGCTGCTCCTCAGCCCGCCGCGCCGCAGGGCCGATGCCTCAGAGATGGGGTCCAAGCATATCAGGGGCACCGATCGGGGGGGGTAGGCACACGGGGGATGCATCGACCCCCAATCGCCCATGGATCGCCGATAGGAGCTCGATAGCCCCAACCTACCCAGGAACTTGCGGATTCACTATCCTGGGCCAATCGCCGATCTATCGGCGATGTATCGGCGATACCAGGTCGTTGCTTCCCCCCCTATGCCAGTCCTCCCTGATCGTTGCCCCTCAGCAGATGGGGTCGGAGGATCGCGCCGCACCGCCGACGCATAGCCGATACATCGCCGATGCATCGGCGATACATTGACCCTCAGCAGATGGGGTCGGAGGATCGCGCCGCACCGCCGATGCATAGCCGATACATCGCCGATGCTTCGGCGATACATCGGCGACGTTTGCGATGCATCGTCGACGTCGGCGGTGGGAAAGCGGGCTCCACATCGAGCCGCATCGCCGACGCATTGGCGACGCGGCTCGCTCCGTCGGCCCCGTCTATTCGGACCCCATGTGGGAGGCTTTCACAGTCAACACGGATAGTAAGGATGGTAACGTAATTTTCCCAATGGGTCTTTGCATCCTCCTCTTCCTCCTTCCCCGCTCCACCTTTGCCCACTTTCGATGGCCAGCTCAGCTCAAAATGCCTAGACATGGGCATCCAAGGGGCTCGCATCCGAATTGCGCATCCAGCGAACTCGAGTCTCACGTCTCCAGGAGAGGAGGAGGTTGAGGAGGAGGAGGAGGGGAGGGGGAATGAGGACGAGGATTCAGGGATGGCAGCCGGGCGGAGGAGGGAAGTTTGCACAAAAACATGAGCAATAAACACGCGATGGTGAAAGCATCACGGCAGGCTCGTGTCGCGACGAACCTTGGCGGTGGCCTCCGAGACCCCGTGGTCGTTCAAGTTTGAGCCTCTCGGCGGCTCTCCGATGATGATGATGATGATGATGATGATGATGATGATGATGATGATGCTGATGATGCTGATGATGATCATGATGATGATGATGATGATGATGATGATGATGATGATGATGATGATGATGATGATGATGATGATGATGATGATGATGATGATGATGATGATGATGATGAGGAGGAGGGAGGAGGAGGGGAGGAGGAGGAGGAGACGACGGAGGAGAAAGGGGAGGAGAAAGAGGAGGAGGAGGAGGAGGAGGAGGAGGAGGAGGAGGAGGAGGAGGAGGAGGAGCAGGAGGAGCAGGAGGAGGCGGAACAGGAGGAGGAGGGAGGAGGGAGAAGGAGGAGAACCAGGAGGCGCCTCCCCCCTCCATTTCTCCTCTGCTGGGCGGCCCGCGGCGGCCTGCAGGACCGCTACCACCGAGACCTCGCCGCGCAGCCGCGCGGCGGCCTCCGCCGCGGCCCTCCCCCGCGCGGCGGGCGGGGGCAGGCCCTGCCCTCGCCGCGCAACCCCCGGGCGGGGGGCTCGGCGGCCTCGGCTCAGGAGGGAAAAAAGGCACACAGGCACAATGAATCGTCGATTCCCAGGCAAATATGAGAAACTGTGGGAAGTGGGGGGGACGACACAAACCGATGAGTTATCCAGGCGACGGACCCAACAATATGCAGTTGTGGGTACCGCAATTGTGAATACTGTCTTCGGTGGAGCTCCCTATGGGGCAACGAAACGCTGCACTGGGTGAGGGGGAACGCATGCGGGCGGTAGAACTGAGGCCGTCGGGCGAACTCCCTATGGGGCCACGAAACGCCGTACTGGGTGGGGAGAACATGCAAAACCTGGTGTGTGGGACGCATGCGGGCGGTCCCAGTGGTGGCTTCGGTGGAGCTCCCTATGGGGCCACGAAACGTATGAGGGGTGTGCCAAGTTTGGTTTCCAGGATGCATGCGGACGGTCCCACTGGGGGCTTCGGCGGAGCTCCCTATGGGGGCACGAAGCGTTGTATTGGGTGGGTGAAGATGCCAAATTTGGTATCCGAGACGCATGCGGACGGTCCCACTGGGGGCTTCGGTGGAGCTCTCTACAGGGTCACGAAACGCCGTAGTGGGTGGTGTGAAAATACCAAACTCCCCATGGGGCCACGAAGCGCTGTACTGGGTGGGGGGACGCATGCGGATGGTAGCACTGGGACCTTCGGTGGGGCTCCCTATGGGGCCACGAAGCGCTGTACTGGGTGGGGTGGACGCATGCGGACGGTAGCACTGGGACCTTCGGAGGGGCTCCCTATGGGGCCACGAAACGCTGTACTGGGTGGGGGGATGCATGCGGACGGTAGCACTGGGACCTTCGGTGGGGCTCCCTATGGGGCCACGAAACGCTGTACAGGGTGGTGGGGACGCATGCGGACGGTAGCACTGGGACCTTCGGCGGGGCTCCCTATGGGGCCACGAAACGTTGTACTGGGTGGGGGGGACGCATGTGGACGGTAGCACTGGGACCTTCGGTGGGGCCCCCTATGGGGCCACGAAGCGCTGTATTGGGGTGGGGGGACGCATGCGGGCGGTAGCACTGGGACCTTCGGTGGAGCTCCCTATGGGGCCACGAAACGCTGTACTGGGTGGGGGGGGGGGGCGCATGCGGACGGTAGCACTGGGACCTTCGGTGGGGCCCCCTATGGGGCCACGAAGCGCTGTACTGGGTGGGGGGGACGCATGCGGGCGGTAGCACTGGGACCTTCGGCGGGGCTCCCTATGGGGCCACGAAGCGTTGTACTGGGTGGGGGGGGGCGCATGCGGACGGTAGCACTTGGACCTTCGGTGGGGCTCCCAATGGGGCCACGAACCGTGTGAGGGGTATGCTGAAACGGGTGATGATGATGATCGTGTTGGAGGAGGGAGAAGGGGGAGGAGGAGAGGAGGAGGAGGAGGAGGAGGAGAACGCGGGGCGACGTCTCTTCAAAACGAGGACCCAACAACACAGGTTGGTTGGGAAATATGGGAAAATATGCGGAATCCTTTTATTTGTCTGATTTGTGTGTCCCAAGGCCCCTTCAACCTCGGCCTCCCACAGCTCGCGCCATCGAGAACTGGAGCACCCGGAGCCCTCCCAGCACGAGGAAGACGTGGCCTCTCTGAGGTCCCCGTCCTCGCGTTGGGGATCACAGGTCTGGGCGGTTTGGTCTGATACGTCCGCAGAAAAAGAAGCCCCGTATCCGTAATGTGGTTGGCCGTCCTAACTAAGGTCCCCTTCCAAAGGGTTAGAGGCCATTGCCTTGCTTCTCATCGCGGGCACCTCCGTCACCTCGACCTCCACAGCTCGAGTCGGGGATCCGCTACAGAATTGATGTACCGCAAATTTATTTTGCCCGTCGAATCTGCGACAAATGAATATAGTGCTCCTACGATCTACGGAGGTTTCTCTATATCCCTAGGAGACTCGACGGAGAAATCAATTATGGGGTCAACCAATTCTGTAATATATCCCCTACTCGAACAACTGCATGACGATCGGCGGCGAGCGAGGGGGGAAGCTAGAAGGAAAAGGCCCTCTCAGGAGGCGGCGGGGCTTCTCCGAAGGCCTCCGGCCTTCCGAGGAGGTGGTCTGTGTCTTCGGGGAAGGCCCAGGACTCTTATCAGAAGGCCGGGGGACTTCCCGGCCTTCTGAGCAGTCCCGCCTCTTCTCACGCCCCCCCCCAGTTAACGGTCTCCGTAGCCCTTAAGGCTCAAAAAGTCATCATCGATATCAGCGCCACGCCATGTTCATGGCAGCGGAGCGCTGTCAGATCCACGACACATTTTAGTTCCAGTAACGCATCCCTTCGCCAGGTGTCTGCTCGGGCACTGGCGCCTCTTGTGCAAAGATGGCAGAGGCGGACGTCCTGCTGAGGTTGGCGAGGCCGCCGACCTTCAGCGGCAAGGAAGATGAATGGACAGAGTGGAGCTTCGTTATGCGGAGCTGCGCGGCGGTGCAGGCTCCCGAGATGACCCACCTGATCGAGGCGGCGGAGAGCGCAGCACGCCCAGACATCACATTAGACAACATCCAGCAACTGCTGGGTGCTGGAGGAGTGGCGGCGGCGAAGAAGCTGTTCCACATCTTGGTCATGAGCGTCAAGGAGCCGGCACTGGCCGCATTACGTGGAAATCGCGAGGTAAATGTAGTTGCGGCTTGGCGAGCACTGACCCACATGTACGAACCGAACACGGCGCCCAGAGTACAGAGCTTGATGAGCTCGATCTTAGCGACGCCCCAGTTCCCATCCGACCTCCCAGGCTACGAGACGGCCTTGGGCGAGTGGGAGGAGACGGTACGCAAGCGGGAGACTATTTCGGGCGACCGGTTCAACGCGTCCATGAAGAAGGCGCTGTTCATAGACAGTGCTCCCAAGTCGGTGAAGACGCTGCTACAGATGCAGAACTTGGACACGTACGAGCAGATGACCATGGTGACGCTACAACTCATGCAGAGCAATGCGCAGTATTTGGCCGGCGTGCCAGTTCCACCGAGCGCGCGACGAGAGCGAGACCCAAACGCCATGGAGGTCGACGCGCTGACGAGGAAGGGCAAGGACGCCAAGGGCAACGACAAATGAGGCCGAGGTAAAGGCAAGGACGACAATAACGGTAACACGATCAACATGAAGGCTGATTGGATCAAGGACGCGGAGTGCTTCATATGCCGCAAGAAGGGCCACTTGGCGGCCGATTGCTGGCACAACTCGAAGGGCAAGCCGCAGGACTCCAAGGGCAAGGGCAAGCGAGGCACGAAGAAGGGCATCAACGAGCTGACGAGCCAGGAGCCCTAGATCGCTTGGAAGGCAGCAGCAGACGCCTTCACAGCGGCCTCGTCTGCAGGGGCACCGTCGACTTCGGCGAGCCAAGCCCTGGGCCACGTGGCGATGCTCACGTACCACGAGCACGAGGACGTTTACGAAACCAGCTACATCTTTGCCATCACGGCCCGATCGAACCAGGTGAACTACGTTGGATACAACGTTGGTCCATGGCTTCCTATGTCAACCCTTGTGGATAACTGTGCCGACGAGCACGCCTGCAGCCCAGAGGACTTCTATTGGGGTGGGATACAGCGCAGCGCCGACCCGAATCTCGAGGCAGCCAACGGCCACAAGATCAGACACTTCGGCGAGCGCTCTGTCAAGCTGAAGCTGAATGCCGGCAAGAATCTCATCATCACTTTTCAGGTGTGCGACGTGAAGGGGCCCATCCTGAGCGTCGGCAAGTTCTGCGGCTACGACTCGAACAGTAACGCCAATGTCAACATGAACGGAGGCACCCTATACCACGAAGCGGCTGGCGAGGTGAACGTGGACAGAGTGAAGAACCACTACGCGCTGCAGTGCTGGGTGGAGAAGCCAGACGTAGCGGCGCCGCTCTCGGCGGGCAGCAGCTCGGGCAGCGCGCCCGCGGGCCAGGCTGCCCCGGCGCCGCAGGGGGACGAGCCGGCACCATAGCAGGGCAAAACCGACCATTTTCAGTCAAAAGTGGTAGGTTTCCGTGGGGCGCCACTCCGAGCTGACCGAGCGGTACAGGGAGATCTTCAGCCTACAGGAGCACATGCGCCACCGGCAGGAGTGGACTACGTCGAGCAGGAGGTGGTCCCAGCCCAGACTTTACCAGGGCCGAAGGAGCCGAGCAAGGAGGAGATCGAGACGCATAACCTATTGCACGACCCGCCGATGCCGTGGTGCGAGATCTGCATCAAGGCGAAAGGCAGAGACGCCTGCCACCGGGCCGCCGCCCAGAAGCCGATACCCGTCATCCAGCTCGACTACGCGGAGGCGGGCAGCGGAGACAGTGATGTCCCGAATTTCGAGTTCATGGTGGGCGTGGACATGTCCACGGGGGCCGCGTGGGCTTCGGCCGTGCTAGTCCAGGAAGGAAGACGTCTACGTCGTTCTTTTCATCGTGTCCTGGCTAGCAGAGCTGGGCCGCACAGAGGTCATCATGCAGTCTGATGGAGCGCCGGCGGCAGAGGCTGTCATGAGAGCCGTAGAGGCGAAGGTATCGACCATGGAGTCGCCGCCGTGCGAGGTCATTTTACAGCAGTCCCAGCGGTGCAGCCATCAGAGTAACGGAGGAGCAGAACGCATGGTGCCCACCATCCGGAATCAGATGAAGGCCTACAAGATCCATATCGAGACAGACACGGGCATGACCATCCTGCGGGACTCGCCGCTACTGGCGTGGTTCCCGAGGCACGCCGCCTGGCAGTACACGAGGTTCCACAAGCGGCAGGACTCGGGCATGACGGCTTACGAGATGATCAGGAGGGTCCCCTACCAGAACCCGATACTCCCTGTGGGCGAGACGGTGGCGTGCCGCCGCCCATGGGGCCGTCATCAATAAGCTCGAAACGACGCGGCTGGAGGGAGTCTGGCTAGGACGGGAGCAAGACGGACGAGCACCTCATCGGGGCCCCGAACAGCCTGGTGAGGAGCCGAGCACTGCGCAGGCGAGTCGAGAGCACGCGCCGGGGCCGGGCGATGCTGGAGGACATGCAGCGGGACCCCTGGAACGCTACGCCAGTGGCCAGAGGCCGACCGCCCAAGGTCCGCAGCGACCAGGAGCCCATCCTGATTGGACCTTTAGCGCTACATCCTCTTCCAGGAGTGGCACCTGGACGAGCGCCAGGCCTGGCGGCGGCGCAGGCGGCGCCAGCGGCGCCAGGGCAGTCGGCCCCCAGCGCCCGGGCCGGACACCCCAGAGACGGCGGCTGCTCCGCATGCCGCACCCGCGCCCGGTGCAGGAGGCGCGCCCATGGACGTGGTCGGCGCAGCCCTGGAGCCTCACGAGAGAGCCAAGAGGGCGCGTGTGGCCGCGGGACAAGCCGCAATTGATGGAGAAGGAAAAACCGACCATTTTCAGCCAGAAGTGGTTGGTTTCCGCGGGGCGCCGACCAGCTTGCAGCGCTACCAGGCCGCCACCTTCCCTGGGCAGGCAGCGGCAGCGGCGGCGATTCCACCGACTTCGCCGCAGCCGCAGTCGGCGGCCGAGCGCGACGCGTGGGCGCGTGCGAGGCTGGGACGCCCACAGGCGGCCCCAGTGCGGCGCGGTGACGCAGGTGACGAGGAAGCACCGCCAACTCAGAGACGACGCGTTGCAGTGCTCCGTGAGACGTGCGAGGGCGACCGCGAGCCGAACACTTTCGTGGAGGCCAGAATGAAGCACATTGATAAGCTGACGAAGGTGCCTGGCAAGATCATCAAGGAGGTCAAGAGGTCCGAAGCCACGACCGCCCCCCTCTCGGGGAGGTGGGTCGAAAGCCAACATGACGACGGGGCACTGAAAGCAAGGTGGACTACGAGAGGCTACGCGCAGACCCTCAACGGCAACGAGAACTTCTTCTCGGCGACTCCAGCGACGGTGCACCTCAAGATGATGCTGGTGGACGCGGCCAAGAAGGGCCATGTTGCAGCTATAGGGGATTGCAGCGGCGCGTTCTACCAGGCGCTTCTCGACCCCGATGGCAACCGGGAGAAGGTGTACATCGAGCCCCCGCCAGAGGCAGGGCTAGGGCCAGATGCGGTCTGGGAGGCAGTGTCGGCCTTCCCCGGCTTGAAGGGTTCACCCAAGGCTTGGGAGACCCACAGCAGCGGCGTCCTGACGGATGAGATGCACCTGAAGCAGTCGCACTACGACGGGTGTGTTTTCTACAGTGCCGAGGGTGAGTTCGACCAGAAGGCAGGGAGGCACATCGACGACTTTTTCGTCACGGGGCCGAAGTCACAGGTCGAGGCCTTCCTCGGCGAGGCGAAGGAGAAGCTCAACACGCAGGGCGCTGTGCGCCTCTACGAGACGGGCGACGAGGGGAGGTTGCTGGCCATGGACCTCAGGGAGATTGAGGGAGGCTTCGCGCTGCAGGGCAACCCTCTGTTGATCACGGACATGGCTGAGTTGCTGGGTCTGGAGAATGCGAAGTACAGCGCCGTGCCAGAGACGGCGAACGCCAAGAAGCAGAGCGACGACGACGATGACCTTGACTACTCCGGCGCAGAGGTGTGCAAGTCGCGCGTCGGCAAGGCCATGCATGCAAGCCATCACCGCGCAGACATACAGCATGCAGTGAACGCGCTTTTGAAACGCATGAAGCAGCCAACGAATGGAGCGCCCAGGAAGCTGGAGAAGCTCGCTCGGTACCCTTTGGGCACGCGCGACGTCTGCCCGGAGTTGGTCCCGAACCAGGATGCGGAGACTTTGGAGACCTTCACCGACAGCGACTGGGCAGACGACAAGGACACCCGGAAGAGCGTCAGCTGCGGGGCCATCCAGATGCACGGCTGCTCGGCGTTGACCTACGCGAGGACCCAGAAGACGCCAGCGCTCTCGTCGGCGGAAGCCGAGCTCTACGCCATCGGCTCTGGGGCGATCGAGACCCTCGGCGCCGCCCAGCTTCTGAAGGAGTGGAAGTGCGACGGCGTGAACCCCCTCCTGATGACTTACTCCCAGAGCGCACTCGCGGTGTGCCGGAAGCGAGGTCCCGGGAAAATGAAGCACGTGGAGTTGAAGACGTTGGCCATCCAAGACTGGGTGAAGGAAGGGCGGCTTCGCATCCACAAAGTATCCACTCACGAGAACCCGGCGGACCTGATGACGAAGGAGCTGTCCGTCGAGAAGATGACTAAGTTCAGCCGCGCCCTCGGCTTGCGTGGCGGGCCGTTCGGATACTAGAATTGGGCTTGAGCCAGGTCCCTCTCAGGTGCTCGAATCCGCCTCTTCGCGCGCTGGCGCGGAAGGAAGAAACCGACCATTTTCAGCCAAAAAGGGTCGGTTTCCAGGGGCGCCCGGGACCGCGTGGCTGAGTTTTCGTGCGCTGCCGCGGAAAGACCGTGGCGCAGCCAGCCGACCTCGGGACAGTCTGAGGCTGTGTTTTCAGGATCGGAAGAGAAGCGGAGACCGAAGAGTCGGCGCTGGCAGTCGGGCTCCGACCGCATCGCCGAAGGGAGTGTTAACGGTCTCCGTAGCCCTTAAAGCTCAAAAAGGTATCATCGATATCAGCGCCACGCCATTTTCACCCCCGTTCTCGGGCCGACCCCTGCTCTCGCGGGTACCTCCACCGCCTCGGCCTCCACAGTTGCATGCCGGGCCCTCCTGCCCCTCCTTCTCGCCCCTTCCTTGTTTTTTACCTCCTCCCTCCCTCCCTGTCCCCGGCCCTTGCCTTCCCTCGGCCCCCCTCCCTCTCTCGATGGCGTGACCGAGCAGTGGCGAGGCGTCTTGGCTTGCCTATAGGCCCTCCGAAGACTGTTCTAAGAACCTTGTGTGGTTTGCACGAAATGTGATTCGAACATTTCTGGCCGAAGCCGTCGTGGTTTAACACATCGGGTTTACGTTCTGAGAAAACTGTTGCGTCTCTTAGAACATTCTTGGGTTCTAAACGCATTTCGTAGTAGGCCCATCGGAATGCCGGGACGGTTTGTCCTTGTTCAACATGAAACCTTCTCCAACGCCGCCGATTCCACCAATCCCTTCCGCCAACTGCACTTCCTTCGGCATCTCCATCACCTCGACCTCTACAACCACCTATATAACAGTGATGTTCACAACCACCACCTGCGCCACCTCATTCGCCTCCTCCCTTCCCCTTTCCTTCTCCGCAGTTGGCACCGCGCAGTCGCGCGCGGACACGCCAGGCCCCGCTGGGCCGCGCTTGGCTCCTCCTCCTCCTCCTCCTCCTCCTCCTCCTCCTCCTCTTTCTCATGTACTTGGTCTTCCTCGTACGATCGTACGAGACTTGCTGCTGGCGATTGGTTCAAAGGGTGGAGGAGCGGCATTGGGGGTGGATCGACTTACGTGGGCCTCCCAGATGGGGTCCGCGTGGGTAGGGTCGAAGGATCGCGCCGCATCGCCGATGCGTCGGAGAAGCGGCTCGATGCGGAGCCCGATTTCCTCCGCGCCAGTGCATCGCCGACGTCGTCGACGTCGCCGGGTGCGGGCAAACTATGCTTCCGTATCCACTGCGTCTTGGAGTTTCGGGATTTCCTCCCTAGAAATCAGATGCGCAGTGGACATGTATGAACATGTGGCCCCCGGGTGCTAGATGTGTATCCATCTTCGCTGCGCCTCGGCCTCCTGGCGACCCTTCCCAAAAAGTCCAGGACGCAGTGGATCTGGATGTAAAGCTTGCCCGCGCTCAGGGCCAAAATTGGGGAGGGGATAGGCTCAGGGGGAAGGCTCAGGTTCAGGTTCGAAATTCTGAGTGTTCGAATGGTGCAGTGTGTTCCTCGACGTTTTCCAGCCTCGGGATGCGTTCCAACAGCTGCGCGTCGCCGAGAGTGTTCGGAGGGTTCCTGGATCGTCCCGAACGGCCGCTGGAGAGTTGAGTTACAACCCGAATGCCAAGTGGCAACGTGAGGGGATGATAGGCCCAGGGAGGAAAACATCGACCCCCACTCACCCATTGATCGCCCAAAGGGGCCCAACAGCCCGACCCCGCCCCGGACCGACGGATATGCTATCCGGGGCCCATCGCCTATATGTCTGCGCTGTATCTCCCACCGCCGCCAGACATCCTGCATTTGGTGGAGTCGAGCTGTTGAGCTCAAAAAGAAAGAACATGTCGGCGCTGTATCGCCCATTCCAGGTTGATGTTTCCCCCCTGAAGCTGGTCCCCCCCTTACGTTGTCCTTCATGCCTTTCCTTCCGCCCCAGATCCCCTCGCGTCGTGAAAAAAAAACGGCGGGAGTTTTTGTGTTGTTGTTTGCTATGTCGGCCTTCAGAGGCCCTCGCGGGGCCGCTGGGCCATCGACAACCACTTGGGGTTTCAAACTTGGCCCAGGGGAGTGGGGCGAGACCTCGGGTGGCCGATGCCGTGGACAAATCACGGCGTCCATAGTCTGGGTCGGACGGGGGCTAGTACGAGGACGAATCCGTTCCAGGGCGTTCCAGCACGCTCTCAGAGCGGCTCTGGAACGCTCTGGAAAGGCCGCGGCGCCCCAGACATCCTTCAGAGCCGCCAGAACTCAGAGATTCTCGATTTATTCTCACCCCATTGCATCATCGTCTTAGCTTCGTTTTACACGTCAGGCAGTCGGAAAGCCTGATTGGCAAACCTTCCACCACCATTACCATATGTAGGACGGGGGAGAAGGGAGGATGAGGAGGTCCTCCTCCTCCGCCTCCGCCTCCACCTCCTCCTCCTCCTCCTCCTCCTCCTCCTCCTCTTCCTCCCCCCTCTCCTACTTATGGTAGTGGTGGTGGGGGCCCATCAAAGCCTGGAAGCCTTGGCCCCGTCGGCCGATCTTTTCCCCCATAGCCGGGGGCAGTCGCCGCCGCCTGCAGGCATCGCGGCGTCCATCCCCACCCAGAGGGGGTTCCGACGGGCAGGCTGACTCATCAAGAAGACAGTGAATCGGGTTGGGAGGAAAGGGCTCGTTTCGATTCCTCCGATTCGAATCGATTTGACTTCGATGGCTTCCGATTCCGATTCGATTTGGATTTCGATTTGGATTCCGATGTTCAGTGGAGGTATACTAGCCCGTCGGTGTCCGCCGATTCGACTTTCCCCTGCTCGGCTGCCGATTTCAGCCGATCCGAGCCATTTCGATCGCCGATCCGACTTATCGATTTGATTATGGGGGTCTCTTGGGAGGATGAGCTTGGGCGAGAGCATCAGATCATTCGTATCATCGACAGTCGTACCATGCAGACTTACCTGTCCCAGTGGGTGGGGGGGGAGGCACCGTTTGACGACGAGTCGGGGGTCCGCTGAAAGGTGTGATCATCGCACCGAGTGGTGAGTCGGTGTGGATCTGGGGTCGCCGCGCGGTGTTAGGACTTGGGTCATTATCTGAGTATGTCTCGGGCGTTTGGGGCCTTTGAGATCCTCAAGCCGTGTGGTTACGGACCCTGCGGTGAGGTCTTTGCAGAGTATTCAAGCCGTTGCGAAGCGTATTGGCTCGCTTCTAGCCCCACCGAAATGTTCTAAGCATCTTTTGTTATTTGCACAAATCTTATCATCACAGTTCTGGCTGAGACTGTTGTGCTTTCACACCTCGGCTTTACGATCTAAGAATATTGCGTACGTTCTCAGAGTACTACACTGGGGGCCCATGCCAATAAACACCCTGGTTGCCTCCAGGGTGCCCTGGGTTTCTTGGGTTTCGATGGTTTTGTGATGGAAAGCGTAACGCTCCCACACCAAAACCAATGGACGCCCTGCGGTCTCAGGGTTGGGTTTCTTGTGGAAGATTTCTTGTGAACTGGCCTCCACTGCATTATCTTCAGAACATTGCGTACGTTCTCAGAGCATTACTTTGCTCTATGGACATGCCGTGATAGGCCTACAGGCTCGCCGGGACGTCGGCCCCTGCTCAAATTTCGAGGTCATTGCCGGGCCGGATCTGTCGCCACACGGTTTTGGGACCTCCAGGCGATGGGATTGCACGGGGGGGCTAGCCAGGGCCGGGAGGGGCGGCCTGGGTGGTGTGCAGGGGCCTCCGGACCGGCCACGCGCAGAGGGGGATGGGGGGAGGTGGAAGGGAGGAGAACGAGAAGGAGGAGAAAGGAGGGAGGTGGAAGAGAGGAGGACGCGAAGGAGGAGGAGGAGGAGGATGAGGAGGAGGAGGACGAGGACGGGGAGGTGCTGGGGGGAGGAGTCCACCCAAGAACTTTGTTTAGTTTTCACCCTCTCTGGTAGCAAGGCACCCAGGGGGGTGGGGCATGGCAGCGGACACACCCCGGTGCGATCAGAGCCGAGCCGAGGAGGAGGAGGAGGAGCAGGAGGAGGAGGAGGAGCAGGAGGAGGAGGAGGAGAAGAATGGACGAGCATGGACGGAGGGAGGGGAGTGGAGGGGATGAGATTGATGGGGAGGGGGGAGAGGGACGTCTGGAGAGGATGATGACTATGCCAATGACGATGACGTCGCCATCGCCATCGTCATCGTCATCGTCATCGTGGGGCGTGACGAGATCCTCGAACGCTCACGCGCCCCCCCCGCAGCAACACGCAGACGCGGGTAGTGGGAGGGGGGAGGGGAGAGCCTCTTAGAAGCACCTCTGCTTCTTAGAGGGCGGGGGCCTTGTCTGTAGATGCAGGGCCAGCGCATTCTGAAAAGCCGCCCCCTTCCAAGAAGCCGTTCCCCCTCCCCCCTGCCTCCCTTTGCGCGCCGCCAATTATGGCACGGCGGTGGCGTGCAAGAGCCCCATTTGCGCAGCCACTCGCCAGGCGCCCCCCGACGCGCGGCGCTCCCCCCCCCCCGCGATCTCCGCCCGCCGAGGGGGGGTCCCATGCCCCGATGCTACCACTCGTCTTGGCTGGAGCGTGCGTCGGCGAATGGTGCCCAATAGCGCCGAAGAGCGCTCCAGCAGCGCCCAATAGCGACCCATAGCGCCCACTGCCCCCGTCTGGGGGAGATGGGGGGAGGGGCAGCGGGAGGGGGGGGGGGAAGAAGCAGCCCCCGTCTAAGAAGCTTCCCCGCCCTCCCCGTACCCCCTGTTGCGCGCCGCCAAGCCCTCCCCGGACGGTGCCAGGAGAAGGGTAAATCCGTTCCGAGCGGTCTGAAACGCTTTCAGAGCGGTCCTGGGACCTCCCGAGAAAGCCGCGGCGCCCGAGACATCCTCCAGAGCCGCCGGATCTCAGAGAGCCTCGCCCGAGTTGGCCCTCGTCCTCGCCCCACGCATCCATCTTCGATGTATCCTCGCCCGAACGGATCCTCGCCCTGGCTTCGTCGTACCCCTTCCCTGGCCAACGCGCCGCGTGCCGCGGCGACGCCGCGGCGGCGCGCGCGGGAGCGCCCCCCCGTCCGAGGCGGTGCGGCGGGCGGGCTCGTTCCAGGACGCCGAGCCGCTCTCGCGCGATTTCGCCCTCGAGGCCTCTGCGCGCGCGCGCGAGCGCGCGGCGGGCGGGGGGTCCGAGGCGGCGAGGCGGCGCAGCAGCCTGGGCCCTCCTCCCCGATCCTCGTCGATCATCCCTACCCCTCCTCCCTCCTCCCTCGCCGCCGCCTCCTCCGCCTCCGCCCTCTCCCCCCTTCTTCTCCCACGGTCTGCCCCCCTGAGAAGGGAGTCCTCGGAGATTCCCGGAGGCTCTTCGACGTATTCGGACTCCTCGACGGTCGCCTCCACGCGGTCCAGGGCGAGCGCCCAGTCCGCGCTCGGCCCTCGGCGCAGCACGGGCTCATCGCCTCTAATTACCCCTCGCCCGACCCCTCGCCGTAGCACTCCTCGCACGCCGCGTGCCTGCATACACCACCATCGCAGGGACTTCCTCCGTCGGGAAAGAGGAGGAAGGGGGGAGGAGCGGGGGGAGGACTGGGAGGAGGAGGAGGAGGAGGAGGAGGAGGAGGAGGAGGAGGAGGAGGAGGAGGAGGAGGAGGAGGAGGAGGAGGGGGAGGGGGAGGGGGAAGGGGAGGGAGGAGGAGGAGGAGGAGGAGGGGAGAGGAGAGGAGGAGGGGAGGAGGATGGTACAGGAGAGGAGGAGGAGGGGAGGAGGATGAGGAGGAGGAGGAGGAGGAGGGAGGAGGAGGAGGATGAGGAGGAGGAGGAGGGAGGAGGAGGGAGGGAGGGTGAGGAGGAGGAGTGGGAGGAGCAGCAGGAGAAGGAGGAGGAGGAGGAGGGAGGGTGAGGATAAGGATGAGGACCTCTGGGCATCCCAAGAAACCACGGTCGGAGCCCTACTTGTCATTTTGTTGCTGCATTTTTCGACAAGCATCCGCGATGGTCTTGTGGCCCGGTGCGAAATGACCAAGTGTGAATAGTGAATGGGGTGTTGCGGGATCTTGTCGGCGCCGATCTTGGTCATTGTCCATCACAGCCGTGGCCGATTCGCGAGGATGGTGCACGACCTGAGGGTGTCCGAGATGGTCGGTGACCAAGATCGGCAGCGACGGTATCTTCGTTCGGTCTTGGTCACGGTCAACGGCCCGCCCCGTTCGCTCGACCCGCACGTCAAGGTCCGTCCGCCGCCCGACCCGCCCGCCAGGGCCCGCACGCCCGACCTGCCCGCCCGACTGGCCCGTCAGAATCATGTCGCCCGACTGACAGGAGAACGGGAGGTCATGATGATCCTGCGTTCCAGGATGTTCTAGATTACCCAGATGTCCAGGATTTCCCAGATGGCCCCATGTTCCACGCGGGCTGCAGAAACGAGGGCCGCTGGATTCCCTGGGAATTGTGGAACGCATCCTGAGCCGATCCTATCGTGACACCGTTCTTATCTCGGGGAACTCGGGCTTGCCTGCGCTTTTTCACGAGCGCGTCTTGGATTTTGACGGTCCAATTTTCGTGGGTTCGCGTCAAATTTCAGATTGGGTCTCGTCATTTTCATAATGACTCTGTTAGGCCAAACAGAGTCCCCCGAACCCGAGCCTTACGTCCCCCCGATCATCTCACAGTCGACCCGCATAGTAAGGATGAGCGACGTTCCATGGTTACCCTTGCATCTTTCCGCTTCGGACCATCCTTGGCCGCTTTCGCTGGCCGCGCCCCGCCGCTCGCAAAGTTTCGAAATGGGTTTCCAAGGCCCGATATCGTGCATCCTCCTTATACGGGCCGGAGATGTCGGAAAATATACCCCAGCGCGCCCCGCCCGCCATACGATTCCCAAGGTAGACGAACGGGGAGAGCAACCGCAGCAGGGGACAGACGAGGGAACGACACCCCCTGACCCCCCTGATTTTTTCGCAACATCGACCCCCAAAGGTCTGGACCCCTTTCCCCCCAACCAGTGTTTCATCCGGAGTCGTTTTTGGACGGTCCCGGGGCCTGGCGAGGGCCCCCCGAGGCCGAAAAGCGCGAAGCCTTTCCCGTCGCGATTGCTTCACAGCGCGAGGACGAGGAGAAGAAGGAGGAGGAGGGTGAGGAGGAGGAGGAGCAGCAGGGGGAGGAGGAGAGGGAGTAGGCGGCGGAGGAGATGGAAGATGAGGAGGAGAAGGAGAAGGAGAAGGAGGAGGAGGAGTAGGAGGAGGAGAAGGACAGGGGGGGGGGGGGGAGGAGGAAGAGGAGGGAGGAGGCGGAGGAGTAGGAGGAGGAGTTGGAGGAGGAGGAGGAGGAGGAGGAAGGAGGAGGAGGAGGAGGAGGAGGAGGAGGAGGAGAAGGAAAAGGGGGGGGAGGAGGAAGAGGAGGAGGAGGAGGAGGAGCAGGAGGAGGAGGAGGAGGTGGAGGAGGAGGGGGGGTAGTCGTCGTCTCAGCCGGCCGTCGTGGTCTTCAGCGCCTGGCCGCCACCGTCCGGGCTGGGCCTTCGCCGACTAGGCGGCCTGCCGCCGAGCGCCCCCAGCGGCCCCCCCCCCGCGCAGCGGCGCCCAGGGCGGGGCCAGCTCGTCGTCCGCGTCGAGGCGCGGCGGTGCCCAGGGCGGCGCGCCGGGGCAGGTGAAGGATGCCGAGGCCCCTCCTCCCCCCCGCGCTGGGGCCAGCCGCGAGGCCGCCAGGAGGGGAGCGTTTTTGTGACCCAGATCCTTGGGCGCCGAGTGTCTTACCCTGTTCATTGGGGACAGATTTTTCTTGAACCCAGATCATTGGATACCATGTCTTGTTTCCCTGATCATTGGGGTCATATGTATCCTTGACCCAGATCATAGGATACATACGTTTCCCGGATCATTGGAGATCGATGTGTTAACCCCGTTCATTGGACACCGTGGTCTTTACGTTGATCATTGGAAGCCGATTTTCTAAACCCACATCATTCGATACCGTTTTTTTCACTCTGATCATTGAACTCCGATTTTTGTCACCCCGATCATCGGATACAGAACTTTTACCCTGATCATTGGAGCACGATTTTTTTGGTTCGGTTGCGATCGGTAGCGACCGATCTGCACTCAATATCGGTCGCGGTCGATCGCGACCGATTTCCAGCATCGGCCGCGATCGGTCGCCACCCATCGCGACCGATAGGTCGCGACCGATCGGTCGCGACCGATTTGTTAGCCAAATCGGTAGCGAGCGTTCTCGTCGGTCGCGACTCGAAAACTCCAGTATCCAATGATGAAGGTACCCTCTGGAGCATAGCCTTTGTATCGCTCGGACGAATGCGTCCTGTCTCGGCCTGGACCCTCGAGGAGCATCTGTTGTGATCATCGTGCGAGACAACAACGCGCACGAAGCCGAAACAAGTGCACGGGGAAGGGACGTCCGAGCGATGGCGAGTAACGCGCGTTGTGCCCCCCCCCCCCCCACCACCACCACCCGTGGGGGTTAGATTTAAGACTGTGTGGCGTGCGCTGTGTTCTCACGCGAGGCCTGTTTTTCGCGCGGCTTCTCATGATGTGAGATGATCGCGTACACAGGTGCAGCACGCGCATTCGAGCATATCAGATCTATCAGTAGTGATCGTGCTTGTATTCATGAAACTACTATTATGTTGCTTAGTTCATTGGCATACGTCTGCCCGTTTTCTTACACATGCTCATAACTCCACTCAAACAAATCGTCGACTATTATTTCTTTCGCGCTCATGGATTGCACGCTGAGGCAAGCGGCCCCGAAACGGCAGCGGCAAACATGCAGCAGCAGGCAGAAGCGACAGCGGCGAAGAATGCAGCACGGGAGGCGTCATGTTTTGTTTCTGCACCTAAACAATACAGTCTCCATCCGCAGTCCACAAAGGAGAACTTGGACCCCTAATCAGAAGGTCCTCGCGGCCTGCCCTACATGGACCATCCAAGGTCGCCCCTTAGAGGCGGTAGATCACGTGCGGCGCGCGCGCCGCGGAGATCAGGTGCCCCCCGCCCCCGACGGACGCAAAGTGGTCTGCCCAGTCGGGGGGCATCCTGTTGAGGTCACTGGCAAACAAATAGATGTACCCGACCACGACCTTGGGGAAGATGCGCAGCATGTTGCTCCACGCAGGTGGCGACGCCGCCGAAGCGCTCGCATCGGCAGCGCAGCCCATTCATTCCTCGGTTGCCGTGCCGATCGCGCATGGAGGGCGGGCTGTCCTTGTCAAGGAGAGTCCTCTTGCCGAAGCGACCGATGTCATTTGACTTGCCGTTGCCCCGAGGGGCGTTCAAGTATATGTAATCGTAGGCGTGGTCGATGTCGTCGGGCGTGTGCGGTTCTTTCTCGGGGTCCTCCGCAACCCAGAAACGCACCTGCCACCCTCCCAACTTGGTGAGCATGTATTGCAACGCCTTGGGGCCAGCGCGAGTGTTAGCTCCCCAGTTCACCCTCATGGCGGTGCCCTGCACCACGGGCATCGCCACCTCGACGGCCACTTTCTCGTCAAAGACGAAGTGTTTGAGCAGACATTGCTTCGGAACTTCGCTTTCGGCCGCCCCCAGCGTCAGGCTGTCCGTTATGACCAGCTGCGGTGAACGGCATTTGACAAAGCCACTTCGGGCGAAACGGATCCGGCAGGGTACCTGTATTCTTCTGTCTGCTCTGCCCCTGGATAGCCTCCAAGTCGTACTCCTCGGTCAACACGGGCACAATGGCGATGAGGTACGTGATGCGGTGGGGCCCTGCCTGGCCGTCACCGATGCCCATGGCGTCGAAAGGGCATGTCCAGCAAAGTGCATGGACCAACCTTGGACGACCACGGCTTTGGTTTCCGCCCCTTCTTGCTGTAGCCAGATAGACCGGAGACGACCTGACCCGCGTCAGCGAACATGATCTTCAGATCATCCGAAAAGCCCACCCAGTCGGCCAGCAGGATTGGCGCGCCAGGCGCTGCTCCCGCCATGGCGAGGACGTTGGGCAAGGGCGAGTCTTGGCAAGGCGCGGCGGCTTGCGCAGTGATGCCTTGAGCCTATAGCAGCGGATACGTTTTGATATGTAAGCTGCTGGAGTCAATCGAAACACGTGTGTTATGTTACATCGGCGGCATCCCTCCTCCTCCTCCTCCAAATCCTCTTCATCATCATGATCATCGTCCCTCCTCCTTATTATCGCCATCATCATATCATCATCCCTCATCCTTCTCCACACCATCATCATCAACATCTTCGTCATCATCATACCTCCTCCCCCTCATCATCATCATCATCAGCATCATCATCATTATCATCATCATCGTCATCATCATCATCATCATCATCATCATCATCATCATCATCATCATCGACATCATCATCATCACCACCATCATCATCATACGTTATCGTCCTCGTCCTTCTCACTACCATTAACATCAACATCATCATACGTCATCGTCTTCGCCATCCTCATCATTATCACCACCCATAAGCATCATCACCCCTGCTCCCTTCCTGATCCGCATCGTCGTCGTCATCATCATCATTCTTCATCCTCCTCCTCCTCGTTGTCACCTCCTCCTCTCCTCTTCCTCCTCCGCCTCCTCCTCCTCCCCTTCCTCCGCCCGTCTCCTTCTCCCCCGCCTCCTACCTCAGCCTCCTCCTCCTCCTCCTCTCCCTCTCTCTTCCATGTCGTCAATCGCCGACGTTCTTAATACTATTTTTTGGTCTGCCGCGATATGAATACGGTGGGACCCACATGGAAGGGCACGGGAGCCCCTGGGGGAACCGAGGAGCCTCAAGATACACACGGTTAAATATGCAAACAATTCAAGGTACACATGGTTCAAGATCCGCACGATCCAACATACAGATGTTTCAAGGTACGAACGACTCGAGATACAGACGAATACGAATGTACTCGCCCAAGAGGTACAGGCGATCCAAGATACATACGATTCAAGATACACATGTTTCGATATAGAAAAGAACCATGATGAAGACGATTCAATACACAGACATTCAAGATACAGACGACTCAAAATACACACGACGACGATAACGACGCGGCCAACGACAACGACGCCGATTGCGCCGGCGCAAGATACATACGATTCAAGACAGACGGCGCAAGATACAGAAGATTCGAGATACAGACGATTCGATGTACAGACGTTCAAGATACAATCGAATAAGTGTACAGATGACGACGCCGACGCCGACGGCGCAAGATGCAGGCGAGTCAAGACACAGAGAGTTCAAGGCATATACGACTCAAGATGCGAATTCTTCACCGATGCCGACGCCGTCGACGCCGATGACGACGACCACGACCACGACGACGACGATGCCGACGGCGACGGCGACGGCGACGGCGACGCAGACGCCGACGGCGATGCCGACGACGACGACGATGACGACGAACCAAATTCGACGACGACAACGCCGACGCCGACACAGACGCCAACCCCGACGCCGACGCCGACGCAGACGGCGACGAAAACGACGACGAAACCGAATCGAACCCCATGAACTCTAACACTCTACCTGTGAGCCAACCCGTGACCCGAACACCCCAATCTGGCGCACAAAATAAACAAGCATCCACACATAGGAATTACTGTTCGCAGTGCTGGTCGCCACAATGGCGCCGACACTGAAGAGACACGGATCAACCACATAGGGTCGTCGCGGGTTTCGAACAATAATGCCCAAGTGTGTGATCATGTGTGCCTCGACCACCTCAGGTGAGGGCATATCCGATCCCAGAGTCGCGAGGATGTTTCAAGCGAAACGTGTTGGGTCCCATCAGGTGGGGGCATCTATGAACCCAGCAGGACATCTATAAACCCAGCAGTGTAACATCTTCATCATCATCGTCGTCAACACCATCGCCATCATCACGCCCGTTCTTCATCATCGTCATCTTCCTCAGTGTCACCTTCATCGTCCTCGTCGTCATCGTTGTCATCATAATCGTCCCTCCTCATCCTCGTCATCGTCACTACCCGCATCATCATCATTATTATCATCAACATAACCGTCATCTTCCTCGTCATCATCACCATCATGATCAGCCCTCGCCCTCCTCCAATAAACCTCAGGTGAGGGCATACCCGATCCCAGAGTCGGGAGGACGTTTCAAGCGAAACGTGCTGTGTCCCATCAGGTGAGGGCATCTATGCATCCAGCAGGACATCTATAAATCCAGCAGTGTAACATTTTCCTCATCAGTATCGTCATCATCATCATCGCCATCATCACGTTCGCTCTTCATCCTCGTCATCTTCCTCAGTGTCACCATCATCATCGTCGTCGTCATCATCATAATCATCCCTCCTCGTCCTCGTCATCGTCACTACCCACTACCCTCATCATCATAATTATGATCACCATCATCATCAGAATCGTCATCATCGTCGTCAGCATCACCATCATCGTCAGCCCTCGTCCTCCTCCTCATCGGGGCGGGGGTGGTGGAGGAGGGAGTAGTAGTGGGGAGGAGGGGCCCGTATCATGAAATACAAAAAGGAATCTCCACAATGATAAACAATCAGAAAACCTTACACACAAACACAATAAGAAAACCACACACTCAACCACAAGAAGAACTCCATACAATCAAACACAATAAGAAAACGTCTTGGGTCCACGAACCCTGTGAGGGTTCCCCCCCAACGAAAACCCCAAAAACAGTAACACCTGTGAGGGTTCCAAACAAATCACTGGATTTCGGGACTTCAGGCTGCCTGGGCGGATCTGGCCTGGAGGGGCCCGGAGGAAGTCCGAAGTCACGAAAACCATGTTTTTTTGGTTGTTGTTTTTTTTGGGTGGCCCTCAAAGGCTTTATTGGTTTTTGTTTGTTTTACTATTTTTTGGGAACCCTCACAGGGATCGTGACCCTCAGACGATTTCTGCTTGTTTTTGATTGTATGGATCTCTGATTGCTTTTGATTGCATGGATTTCGTATTGTGTTTACTTGTATGGATTGGGTATTGTTTTTGATCGTATGGATTTCTTTGTGTTTTCCAGTTTAAGGTTTTCTTATTGCTTTCCAGTGTGAGGTTTTCTTATTGGTTTCCAATGTAAGGTTTTATTGTGCTATCCTGGGTAAGATTTGTCATTATTGTTTTCCGTTGGAAGGTGTTCCGTTTGTTTCCCATTTTAGAGTTTTCTTTCAGTTTTTGAGTGTATGGACTTTTTGTTGCTTCTGCTCGATTGGACTTCTGATTGTTTTTGATTGCATTAATGCCGTATTGTTTTGATTGCGCGGAGCGGAAGGGAGATAGGGAAGAGGAGGGGGAAGAGGACGAGAATGATCATGTGGAGGAACAGGATGATGATGCTGGTGATGATGATGATGATGATGATGATGATGATGATGATGACGATGATGATGATGATGAGGATGATGATGACGATGGTGATGATGATGAGGATGATGAGAAACACCCCACGCCACAGAGTCTTAAATCTCACCCTTACCCCCCCGGCCCCACCCACCCACCCACCCCTTCCCCATAGCGTGACGCTCCCTTCCCAGTGCGTCCCCAGCACTGCCGCAGCGTGCCCGGCACCACAGCGTTTGCAGTGCAGGACCCGCACGGCAGGGGGCGGGGCGGGGTGCGTTTCGTCCTGCCTCCACCCCTACCCCCGCCCTGCCCCCCACACAATCAAACCGCATAGCAAGGATGGGCAATTTTCCCAAGGAGACCCTTGCATCCTTGCCTCCTCGGTCCATCCTTGGCGACTTTCGTTAGCCGCGCCCCGCTCGAAAAGCTTCGAAGATGCCTTCCGATCGTGCATCCTGATGATACGGGTCGACAATAGCGCCCGCTGGCGCCGCAAATGAAAAACCGTCTTCGATGCTCTTCTCTCGGGCCTCCGAACAGAAAGAGGACAACGATGAGGGAGAGACAGAGGAAAGACACGATGATGATGATGATGATGATGATGATGATGATGATCATGATGATGATGATGATGATGATGATGATGATGATGATGATGATGATGATGATGGGAGAGGGGGGCAGAACAGTAAAGATGATGATACTGATGATGATGTGATGATGAGGATGCTGATATTGATGATGATGATGCTGCTGATGATGATGATGATTATGATGATGATGATGATGATGATGATGATGATGATGATGATGATGATGATGATGATGATGATGATGATGATGATGAGCATGAGCATGAGCATGATCATGACCATGACCATGATGATGATTATGATGATCATGATGACGGCACGATGGGGGAGAATGAGGACAGGGAGGGCAAGCAGGATGAGGCAGAGACGCAATGGAGCACGAGCTGCTGCAGCGCGGAGAGGTCGGCACCTGCCCTGTGGGCCACGTGTTGAAGCCTATCAAGGCCAAGCTGGACGGCTACATGTGCGACGTGTGCTTGAAGGCCGCGAGGGGGGCCAGGCTTTCACGTGGACGTTCTAGTCGGGGGTCGCGTAATGTGGACGAGCGCTAACCCCAGATCGTTGGATACCGAATGCTTGCGGTCGCGGGTAGCGACCGATCGGCACCCCAGATCGGTCGCGACCGATCGCGACCGATTTCCAACATCGGCCGCGACCGGTCGCCACCCATCGTGACCGATTGGTCGCGATTGGTCGGTCACGTCCGATTTTTTTGCAAATTTGTCGAGACTTATACCGAAACTTGAATCAAAATCGGTAGCGACCGTTCTCGTTGTGCGAGACTGGAAAATGCAGGGGGTCAGCCAGCCCCAACCAGGGTCTGGAAACCACGTGGGGCAAGTTTTGGTTTGTTCTCCCTCCGCTGACCCTGCGGTCTGGGAGCCACACTCCGCGGCCGACTGGGCTTCGCGACAGGGCCCTGGCCGACCAGGGTTTGTGTTGACCCGTGTTGGTGCGCGCCCGATGCAGACAGGGCCCCGCCTTCGAGGTTTCGGGGATGTAGGTTGGGGGCAGCCAGACGGGGGCTGGCGGGATGTCTCCTCCTCGGCGGGAGTAAAAGTTACGCCCCCCAAAGACGTCAGCATTGGTTGGTTCCGATGTTCCGTGGCGAGCCACGTGGGCGCCGACAGAACCGACGGCCGACGTCCGCCAAATTGGGCATGCTGTGGTCGGCGTTTTGGGCGGACGCGCCGATGTCGGCCAGCGCCCAGATCTTAGGCTTCGGTGTCAAGGGCAGAACGCCAGGGGGCGGTGGCAGGCCTAATCGAGCCCGAATCGCCTCCCTATCGCCGACGGGAGCCCGATAGCCAGCCCCGTCTGGTAACGTGCGGCTCCGCTATTGGAGGCCCACCGCCGATCTTTTGGCGATGGATCGCCGCTTCGGGCTCGATGATTCTCCCCTCCGCCGCCCGACCGATGAGTAGAGGGAGGAGGGATGGGGGAGGAGGAGGTGCGAGGAGGAGGAGGAGGGAGGGGAAGGAGGAGGAGGAGGAGGAGCTGGAGGAGAGTATTCAAGGGGCTATACAGGAATCTGCGGGAAGCCGCCCACCCTCCGAGCCAGTGCGCATCGTAGTAGTAGTAGTAGTAGTAGTAGTAGTAGTAGTAGTAGTAGTAGTAGTAGTAGTTGTTGTTGTTGTTGTTGTTGTTGTTGTTGTTGTTGTAGTTGTAGTTGTAGTGGTAGTGGTAGTGGTAGTGGTAGTGGTAGAAGCATGAGTGAGAATCGTCGTATTCATTGTCGTTGCTTTCGAAGTCGTCGGCGTAGTAGTAGTAGTAGTAGTAGTAGTAGTAGTAGTAGTAGTAGTAGTAGTAGTAATAGTCGTAGTAGTAGTAATGATATGGCTGTAGTCGTCGTTCAAATAGTAGTAGTAGTAGTCGTAGTTGTTGTAGCCGTAGTCGTAGTAGTTGTAGTAGTAGTAGTAGTAGTAGTAGCAGCAGCAGCAGCAGCAGTAGTACTAGTAGTAGAAATAGTAGTAATATTAGTAGTCATAAGATGTAGTAGTTGTTGTAGCCGTAGTAGTAGTAGAAGTAGTAGTGCATCTTGCAGCAATCGTAAACTTAATCGTAGTAGTAGTGGTCGTAGTCGTAGTAGCCGTAGTCGTAGTCGTGGTAGTAGTAGTCGTAGGAGTATTATTTGTAGTAGTAGTAGTAGTATTTGTCGGAGTAGTCGTAGTAGTCGTAGTACTCGTCGTAAAAGCACTAGAAGTAGTTGTGGAAGTAGTTTCATCGTTGTAGTAAGTAGGCGCAGTGTAGTATTTGTAAACATGGCGGTGGTAGTTGTTGTAGTCGCCTTTGTCGTCGTAGTAGTAGCAGTCGTATTAGTAGTGGTCGTACTAGTAGCCGTCGCAGTAGCAGTAATTGTCGGAGTAGCAGTAGTAGTAGTGGTCGTAGTAGTAGTAGTAGTAGTAGTAGTAGTAGTACAGTAGTAGTAGTAGTAGTAGTAGTAGTAGTAGTAGTAGTAGTAGTAGTAGTAGTAGTAGTAGTAGTAGTACTAGTAGTACTAGTAGTAGTAGTAGTAGTAGTAGTAGTAGTAGTAGTAGTAGTAGTGGTGGCGGTAGTGGTAGTAGTAGTAATAGTAAGTAGTATTCACTACGCCGAAATAAGTGATAGCAGGTCGTACTATGCAGTTGTTCTTACTTGCACGTTGCAGTAGTAGCCTGAGTAGTAGTAGTAGTAGTAGTAGTAGTAGTGGTAGTAGTAGTAGTAGTGGTAGTAGCAGTCGTGGCATGATGCTTCGCAGTCCTAGCAGTAGCCGTCGTAGTATTAGTGGTCGCCGTAAACGTCCAGTAGCAGTCGTAGCAGCAGTAGTAGCAGTAGCAGTAGCAGTCAGTTACTCTGCAGTTGTAGTAGTACTCGTCTTAATAATAATAGTAGTAGTAGTAGCCGTCGTAGCAATAGGAGTCGTAATAGTTTTTGTAGCGATAATAATCATTTAAGAATACTAGTAGGATTGTCAGACATCGTATCAGTAAGTCGCAAGTCGTGAGTAGTACGTATTAAGCAGTGCGTAGTACGTAGTAGTAACCTTAGTAGTGGTTGGTTTCGTAATTCTAGCAATCGCAGTCGTATGTTAGTCGTAGTTGTAGTCGTAGTAGTAACAATTGTAGTAATAGTAGTAGTAGTTGTCGTAATAGTCGTAGTAGTCGTAGTAGTCGTAATCGTAGCAGCAGTAGTAGTAGTAGTAGTAGTAGTAGTAGTAGATTTAGTAGAGTAGTGGTAGTAGTAGTAGTAGTAGTAGTAGTAGTAGTAGTAGTAGTAGTAGTCGTAGTAGTAGTAGGAATAGTCACAGTACTGTAGTAGTAGTAGTAGTAGTAGTAGTAGTAGTAGTAGTAGCAGTAGCAGTAGCAGTAGCAGTAGTACTAGTAGTAGTATTAGTCGTATTAGTCGTAGTAGTAGTAGTAGTAGTAGTAGTAGTAGTAGTAGTAGTAGTAGTAGTAGTAGTAGTAGTAGTAGTAGTAGTAGTAGTGGTCGTCGTAGTAATAGTAGTAGTAGAAGTAGTAGTAGTAGTCGTAGTAGTAGTAGTAGTAGTAGTAGTAGTAACAGCAGCAGCAGCAGTAGCAGTAGCAGTAGCAGTAGCAGCAGCAGTTGTAGTAGTATTATTAGTATTAGTGAGAGTGTTAGTAGTACTCATCGTATTATCAGTAGTAGTAGTAGTAGTAGTAGTAGTAGTAGTAGTAGTAGTAGCAGTCGTAGTCGTAGTCGTAGTAGTAGTCGTCGTAGTCGTAGTCGTTGTCGTTGCCGTAGTCATAGTAGTAGTAGTCGTCGTCGTCGTCGTCGTCATCGTATTTTCATTCGTAGTAGGCAGGTAGTAGGTAGGAGTAGTAGTAGTAGTAGTAGTAGTAGGAGGAGGAGAAGGAGGAGGAGTAGGAGTAGGAGTAGGAGTCAAGCTAGCCAGCTCGAGCGAGTCAAGCATGGCATGCCCAGTCCCGCCCGCCCTCCCACAACATAAGAAGCAAAGCTGGCACAACTGGGGGCCGAAGTCACACCGGCCAGCCGGTTTGGTACAGCTGATGCGGCCGCGATGGCGGTTGCCGACGGGAACTGGCGAGCGCGTGTTGAATGCCGCGCACGCATTGCCAGACGAGTCGAGAATGGCCTGGTACACCGCAGGAAGCCAGAGGTGGCCGGAGGAAGCCCGACGGTCTGACAGGACACCCCACAGCATTTTTGTGAAAAAGCATTGGGTTTTTGATGTTTTTATGTTGAAATGCTTGCAAACACACGGTGTTCGGTAGGATTCTGACATGAACGCGCGAGTGTGCTCTTTGTGGTATTTTTTGCACAGGATTCGCGGCCTGGGTGCATGACAGAGCATCGCGAGTGCACCGCGCGATGACGTGAAATCGCTGGATTTGACAGAATTCTTAAGATTCCTATGGTTTTCCTATGATTTCAGCAAGAGAGCCCGGGCGGGAAATTTGTACAATTTTTGTGAAAAAAACATTGGGTTTTTGATGTTTTTATGTTGAAATGCTTGCAAACACACGGTGTTCGGTAGGATTCTGACATGAACGCGCGCGTGTGCTCTTTGTGGTATTTTTTGCAATGGATTATCGCCGTGGACGACAGGACGTCCATGTCGAGAGGAAAAAATAAGAAAAAAAATGATTTTATATTGTTTTTTTACAGGTTAGGATGGGACCCCCCGGATGCGGCCCCTAATGGCCGGCCTGAGGGGGGAGTAGGAGTATATTCTAATAAGGAATAAGGATAGGAATAGGAGCGGGAGTGGGAGTCGGAGTGGGAGTGGGAGTAGTAGTAGATCGCTTCACGCAGTCTCAAGCGAGAGTCCGAATTTGAAAGGGAGCCCGCCATTCGTCCGTAGAAGTCATACTTCATTTGGGCCAAGGTTGGGGGAATCTGAGGGGGGGCGCTCTGTTTTGAGAAGGAATCGCGTTCCATCCGCCTGGCAGCTGGATGTTTATATAAGATACGAGCGTACGCAGCGCCACTGCGAGAGCCCATATTGAAGATGTTTCGCCCTCCGCCAGTGTAGACCGCGCGGCGCCAAGGCGAACGCCCCATCTTGAAAGCGAGTGTGCGCGGCACTAACGCAAGAGCCCCGCTTCGAAAACCATTCGCCCTCACTCCGTGCGATTGTGAGAAAATCCCCACCTTCATGGTGAGGAAGTCTCTAGGAAGTCTCTCGCGAAACGCACAGACCGCCCTAACGACACATGTGGTATTGCCAGAACTCCTTAGTAAGGACGCGCGGGTGTCCTCAGGGTACCCTTGCGTCCTTGCCTCTGCGGCTCGTCCTGCACGGTTTTCATTGGCCAGCCTTTCAGGTTGTTGGCAGTCCACCGCCCGAAACGTGCCAACTTCGGCGTCCTAGGCCCTCGCGTCCTTCCCGCCCGTCCGTGCTGTAGATTTCACTTGTAGTGCGAGGGGACGGAGCCACCTATAAGGAAGATGGACGGAGGACCGAAGAGCCCCCCCCTGTGACCGCCGCCGCCCAGGAATTCAAGCGCGGCGCCTCGCTGTACCACTGCGAGCCGTGCTCCTACGACAAGTGTGAGGAGCGCATCCCCCCTTGGGGCCGGGCAGCGTGCGAGACCTGGCGCCCGGGGTCTCGAACGGATGGGCGATACCCAGCACCGCAGCCACCAGTCGGCGGCGAGCCCAGGCCAGGGAAACGTCAGCGTCACGTGCGCCGCAACTCGGGTTTGCCGACGCGCCCTTTGACGAGCGCGTCCTGGAATTTGGCGGTCCAATGCTCGTGGGATGCTTGCCGCAGGGGCTTTCTCGTCGAACTTCAGGCTGGGTCCCGTCATCCTCATGATGGCCCCGTCGGGCCAACCCGAGTCCCCCGAACCCGACTCTCACGTCTCCCCGACCAGGGGGGAGTCAGAGGGGGTCGGAGAAGGCTCGGAAGGCCTCGAGCCTTCTGAGCAGAGCCTTCCCCGAAAAAGCGCCGATGACTGCTCAGAGGGCTTCGGGGGCCTTCCGAGAAGCCCCGCCGACTTATGCAAGGGCCCGCGCCTTCTCGCTTCCCTTCAGTCGGGCATGTCCCTTTCCAGGAGGAGTATTCGAAAATATGTTTAAGCATAGTTTGGGGAGGATGTTCGACTACTTGTGTTTATCTTTGGAGTATGGTTGGGCTACTTTCATTTTTCCTCCACAACCCACCTGTAGGAGGACATGCCCGACCTAGCGCTTCCCCCCCGAGTCTCGGCGCGCCGCCGAGCTGAGGTTGCAGGACCACCCTCCGGGCTCAGGACGGGCTCTGCTTCGGGTCCACCCGAATGGTAGGGATGGGCAACTTTTCCAGGGGAACCCATGCATCCATGCCTCCTCGGTCCATCCTTGGCCAATTTCGTTGGCCACGCCCCGCTCGAAAAGCTTCGAAATGGGCGTCCAAGGCCCTTGCGTCCTTGTCGCGCATCCTGCTGATACGGGCCGGCTGTAAGGACCACTGGGCTTAGGACACGCTCTGCTTACCGGGCGCTTGGTGGCCGAGGCTCGCCGTGGCCAGGAAAAGCCCCCCCGTTCCTCGTCCAGCGTTACTTACAGTGGAGATCCATGCCAAGGAACACCCTGCCTGCCTCCAGGGTGCCGTGGGTTTCTTGGGTTTCGATGGTTTTGCGATGGAAGGCGTGACGTTCCCGCACCAAAAATCAATTCACGTCCTTGGGTCTCAGGGTTGGGTTTCTCGTGGAAGGTTGCTTGTGGCCGAGCCCCAACTGTTTGGCTAGTGGCAGCACGGTGTCTGCAGTCGACGACGATGGACCTCCGACGGCCCTGGCGACGAGGGCGACGGCGCCGGCGACGAGCGGCGACAAGACGAGGACGTGCCCGAGGTCCTCGTCTGCCTCATCGTCGTCATCGCCAGGAGGAGGAGGTGGAAGAGGAGGAGGAGGAGGCGGAGGAGGAGGAGGCGGAGAATGATGAGGAGGAGCAGAATGAGGAGGATGATCAGGAGGAAGAAGGAGGGCGGGGAGAGGAGGAGGGATGATGGCGAGGATGAGGAGAAGAGGAGGGAGGGGGCAGGGAGGAGGGGGGAAGTCTGTAGCAGAGCGGGACCGAGAGTCGTGAGCGGGGGAGGGGAGGCAGCAGCTGCCGCGGATCGGCCGTGCAGCGCGGCGGCTGTTGCTGCTGCTGCTGCTGCTGCTGCTGCTGCTGCTGCTGCTGTCTCGTGCTGATGCACAGCGGCAGCAGTCGGACTGAACGACGCAGCTGCTGGTCATAAGCGCGCAACCCACTATCACTACTACTTTCTAGGGCCGGAAGCAGGAAACCAAGTCTTGGGAGTCGGTGGATCACCGACTACCAAGACTCGCGGTCCGCGAGTCGGACCCCGAAATTCAGTAGTGCCCAGTGGGCGTCACGGGAAAACCACGCAGTACGCGCCAATCGTAATCTGCAAAGCCTCCCATTCCTCTTACCTCGCTGTGCAGTTTCTATAATGTTATGTCCTCCTTGCCTCCTGCCAAGTAAGGTCTCGTAGGGGTCCAGTCTCGGGGGGGCGTCTTGGGTTGGGGCGTCTTGGGTCGGGGAGTCTTGGGAGCCCAGCCTCGCCCCTGGGAGGCGCCTTGCGAAAAGGTGCGTGCACCAGGGCGCGGGGCACCAGGGAGGCGCCTTGAGAATGGGCGCGCGTGCCTGGGGGCGGGGAAGAAGCCGTGGCAAGTCCTAAGCCACGGGGTTGTGCCAGCGGCCTTTCCGAGGACCCCTCGGTTGCACCGGGAGTTCGGTGCAGCCGAGGGCGTGCAGGAAAGACCGCTAGCTCGTCACCGTCCATAGGGCCCTTCCGAGGACTTCCTGGTTGCGCCAAGAGTTCGGCGCAACGGGGGGCGTGCAGGAAGGGCCCTATGCAGGCGGTGGGGCCCATGGTCAGATGATCTCCCTAGTTGGGAGACGCTCGTCTTCTGGACCGCTGCCACCCCTCTCGGCCAGGGCCAGGAGGTCTAGGATTTGGGTTCTCTGGGACGAGCTCTCGGGAGGAGGTTCCGGTCCTCGCCAGTTCCCTTCGTCGGGCGGTTTCTGTTCCGTTCCGCGGGTCGATGGTCGCTTCGGCGGCGCACCGGTGTCTGGGGAGGATCGGGCGTTGCTCGCACGGGGATATATCCGCTCCGAGAGCGTTCCAGAACGCTCTCGGAGCGTTCTGGAACTTCTGTGAGAAGACCGCCGGATCTGACAGGATTAGCCATTTCTCTCGGACGGGTGGCAATGAGGGGCGCCCTAAAATGGGGGGTGGAGAAAAGGGCCATCGCGCGGCATTCTAGGGCCACTTTTGGAGCCAGCAGGGGCCCAAAAGGGGCCCCAAAGTGCCCCTCTCTAGGGTCCTTGTTTCGTCACTCCCCACGTAGGTCACCCCCAGTACCACCCGCCCGAGTATCCTCACCCAGTGTGATCCTCGTCCTGGCGTCGTCTTCGAGGGGCAGGAGCTCCCTTGCATGGGGGGCAGCAGGGGGGGCGCGGGGAGCTGCCCCCCCTTTTGCGCGCCGAGGGGCGCGGGCAAGACTTGCAGCAATATCCCGGGCGTCTTGGACGATCTGGGCAGGGGCGCCGAGAGTCGGCGGCCTCCTCCTCTCCCTCACCTCCTCTCCTCCACCTCCTCCTCCATCTCGTCCCCTTCCACCTCCTCTCCCTCCCCCTTCTCTTCCTCCTCCCGCTGCCCCGAGGCCGAGAGCGGCAACAGGAAACCGACGAGCACCCGAGCGGCGCTCTGGGGGAGAATCGGCGGCGAGCGAGGGGGGAAATGAGAAGGCGGAGGCCTCCTCAGAAGGTGGCGGGGCTTCTTCGAAACCCTCGCGCCTTCTGAGAAGTTGGTTGTGTCTCCGAAGGCCAGGGGGCTTCCGAGCCTTCTGAGAAGCCCTTTTCCTTCTCGCTTCCCCTCCCAAAGCTTGCCGCCAAAAAAGGCCGAGACGCAGTGGATACGGACAAACATCCAGTGTCTATGTGGGGGGAGACTTTTACCCATAGCCACTGCGCCTCGGGTGCCTGGGGGAGGGAGCCCGGAACTCCGAGGTGCAGCGGATATTGCTACAAATTTTGTCGGGCGGGTAGCAATGGGGGGTGACCCAAATTGGGGGGTGAATACGAGCGCCCTACTCCTTATGGGCCCCTGCTGGTTTCAAAAGGGGCCCTAAAGGGCCCCTTCCGGCTCTTTCATTCACCCATCATGTGGGTCACCCTTCATTGCCATCCGCCAGATCCTGCCCGCAACGGAAACGCTCGCCCAGCCGGCAGGACTGCCATTCCTCCGCCATCCGGAACAATCGCCAGCAGCAGGTCTCGTACGAAGTCAGCGATCTGCGCGGGAACCCGTCGGGAAAGGCCACGAGACGAACATCAAAAGGAGGAGAGGAACGAGAGGTGGCGGAGGTGCTGAGGCGGTGGTTGTGAAGGGTGGAATCGGGGGCGTGGTTAAGGTTTCATGCCAGGGATGTTGAGTTTCCACGGGAAGAGGCAGAGGGAGGCGTCTCGGGGAGGGAGAGGGCCAGGGACAGGGAGGCAGGGCTGCGGAAGAATAGGGGCAGGGAAAACCACAGGGGCAGTAGGGCTCGTCATGCACAACAGAAATCAAGGGACGCGTATTGTTTGGTGGTGGCGCGGGCATGGGCAATGCGCGGTCGAAGCCAAGGCCGTTTGTTCAGTCATTTGTATCGGCCTTGCTGTTGGTATAGAATAGTTAACACACATCTCTCAGCCGAATCTCGAACCTGTAACACATGCGACGAATTATACGCCACTCGTCGAGCGGGATCCTGAACCTGTTGCATCTGCACATCGACGGCCAGTCGGCTCCGCCCGTTGAACTTATTCTTGTTGGTGCCTTCCTCGACTGCCATTGTCCGTGTTGTCTTCGACGAAGAGAACACGGCATAAACATATGTTTCTGGCGCTCCGCGCTGACTCCTTGGATCTGCGCTGGGCCCCCCCCCACGGCGCCTTCGCTGCCGCTCTTGGCGCGTTCCGCACGCCAGGGAGAGGAGTCCAACGCAGATGCAAGAAATCCGCGTGGAGCGCCAAACGTTTATGTTTACGGCGTTTTTTTATTCGATTGTCAGTTCTGGGGCGGCGGCATGGCAGCAGCGGCCGCGGGCGCGGCGGCGGGCCAGCCCTGGAGCCGGCCCCGCAACCAGGGCGAAATGTGCCGCGCGCACCCCGGGATCGGGCTCGTTGTCTCGCACCGCGGGGCGCCGCCGCCACGAATGGCGCTGCAGCACTCCCGCGGGGTGGCCGCGAAAACTCTGGAGATGCACCGGGGCGCCTTCTCGACTTCGGGCCCATGGCCTGGACCTCGGGCGGTCCTCGCGGGGGCGGCGCGCCCGCCGCCGCCGAGCCTGTTCACGCCGCGCCTGACTAACTTAACGGCGGGGCCCGCGCACCGCCAGGGGCCCAGTGCGGAAGTAGTTCACACACGCACACACACGCGCACACACGCTCTCTCTCTCTCTCTCTCCCTCTCTCTCACACACACTCACACACAAACACACACACACGCTTTGTCTCTCTCACACACACACACACACCAGATCCCACACGCACAAACAAACAAAAAAAACACACGCGCACACGCACACACACACACACACACGCACGCACGCACACACACACACACACACGCACGCACGCACGCACGCACGCACGGCACGCACGCACGCACGCACGCACGCAACGCACACACACACACACACACGCACGCCACACGCACACGCACACGCACACGCACACGCACACGCACACACGCACACGCACACGCACACGCACGCACACGCACACGCACACGCACACGCACACGCACACGCACACGCACACGCACACGCACACGCACACGCACACGCACACGCACGCACACGCACACGCACACACGCACACGCACACGCACACGCACCACGCACACACACACACACACACCACACACACGCACACACACACACACACGGGGCGCGACGATGGCCACGGTTGTCGCGCCTCGCGGCTTTTGGCAGAGGATGCCCCTGCCCATTGGCACAGAGTGCAAGGCGCGCCCCCGCGCGGCGCGAAGCGCAAAGACCAGTGACCTAGCTGAACTGCCAGTTACGGGCGGCGAACAGATTCATATCCATGCCCTCCGCTCTGGACTCCGGGGCGCGCGCAACCCCGTGGATAGGCGGTTGCAGTCGGTAAGTGCCGCGCGGGGCATCCGCGAAACAGCAAAAACAACACCTATTGGGGCGGCGACCTAGGGGCCCGACCGGCGAGGCCTCCTCGTTTTAGTTTGAAATAGGAGGGTAATAGCCAGAGTGGACGCCATTTCTATCGTTGCCTATGTGTCTCCTGCTCGCCCTTGGAGACCTGTCCACAGAGGCGCTAGGAAAGGAGAGGTTGGTTCCATGTAGATGGGGGCTTTTGAAAAGGGTTCGCACAGATATGCAACAGTTCATCCTGTGGCTCATTCCCGTGGCTCGTGGCTGATCCTGTGGCTCATGGCTACGCAACCGCACCTCTCTCATTCTCTCACGGGCCAACGATGCCAAATGCAGCAGATTCTGCTGGCATCTAGCACGAACGAGGGTACGAACTAGTGCGTACATGTGTGAAACCATTTGCGCAAAGGACACATCAGCCCGAATCTGACGAGGACAGAAACCATATGGAGCTGCTTCCCGCCCGTGAGTCCAGCATTGGACACGCCTGGCGCCTTCCTCTGCCGAAACACATGTGTGTGTTCTCCCTCGTCCTTACTTCAACACGTCCTCTGCCGCCCCCGCGGCCGTGCACGTGCCTTAGGCCAGGATTTGCTGTTCACCCCCTCTTCCGCACTTCCCCCCTTGGACGCGCCCGAGGCGGCGCCGCTCCTCTCGCCGCGCCTGGGCTGGTGGCCGACACGGACGAGCCCCTCGATCTGACAGGGCCTCGCGGTTCGGCAGCCGCGGATCATCTCGAAGAAGAGCACCCCGAAACTTGAATCAGACGATGAAGACGTAGCCTTACTGAGGTCGCCGTCTTTGCACCAGGGGTCATACACCTGAGTGGTTTGGCTCGATACATCTGCAGTAACGACTCCAATCCCTAATGCGTTTGGCCCTCCTCGCCAAGGTCCCTTCCCAAAGGATTAGCGGTCTTTTCTATTGCTAGTCAGCGAGATGTCCCAGGCCGTGGTGCTGAGGCCTGAGTCTCACGTGGGCGTCCACACTCGGGGGCCCCCCAAGCAGAGTGGTGGCCACACCGCGTGGTGAATCAGGAGGTGAAAGACCACACAGACACACACGAATGTCGATTACCCGGAAAGAATGGGAGCAGTTGGGAAGCGATGGGGAAGACGAATTTCCAGAACATATTGAAATGATGGGGGAGAGTGAGAGTGAGAGTGCAAGTACGAGCGAGAGAGAGAGCGAGAGAAAGAGAGAGAGAGAGAGATAGAGAACGAGAGAGAGAGAGAGAGAGAGCGAGGGAGGGAGCGCCAGAGGGAGAAGGAGAGGGAGATCAAGAGGGATACAGAACGGGAAGTTGAGGGGGGGCGAAAGGGCGAGAGTCAGCGGGAGTTGGGAGCTGGGAGCTGGAGTTTGGAGCGGGTGAGATGGGAGCGGGAGAGGCAAAGGGAAGGGGGAGAATGAGAGGGGTGGGGAATGCAAGTGTAAGAGAGAGCGAGAGATAGAAAGACACACACACACAGATCAACGGAGAGAGGGAGAGAGAGAGAGAGAGAGCGAGAGAGAGAGAGAGAGAAGAGGATAAAGATAAAGAGAACGAGGGAGAGAGGGAGGTGAGAGACTGAGAGATAGCGAGAGCGAGCTGTACACATGAAGAAATAGGGACAGAGGAGGAGGGGGAGGAGGGGGCAGTGAGGAAGAGAGAGTGAGGGAGCGAGATAGAGAGAGAGAACCAGAGATCCTCCCCCAGCCCCTCCTTGACGCAATATGCCGCTCCCGCCCTGGCCGCCTCGAGGTGGGTACCTGCCCGCTGGGGCACCACCTGAAGCCCTTCGTCACAGACATCAGCGGCTACCAGTGCAGCCACTGCAACAGGGAGATCGGGGCGGATGCGAGGAGGCAAGGTGGAGCCACGCTGGCGCGGATGACGAAAGACAAAGGGGGTACAATGATGATGATGATGATGATGAGGAGGAGGAGGAGGAGGAGGAGGAGGAGGAGGAGGAAGATGAGGATGAGGATGAGGATGCGATGATGATGATGATGATGATGATGATGATGATGATGATGATGATGATGATGATGATGATGATGATGATGATGATGATGATGATGATGATGCGGATGATGATGATGATGATGATGATGATGATGATGTTGATGATGATGCTGTTTATGATGATGATGATGATGATGATGATGAGGAGGAGGAGGAGGAGGAGGAGGAGGAGGAGGAGGGAGGAGGAGGATGATGATGATGATGATGATGGTGATGATGGCGATGATGAGGAGCCAGGCGGGGACGAGTTGGGGGCGGACGAGGGGGAGGAGGCGAGGATCGGGAGGCGAGGGGCAGGCAGGCGTCCCCGTCCCCTGAGTGGAGCAGCTGCTTTCGCGGCCCCCTGGAGGAGCGGGGACCACAGGGGGGCTTCAGAACGGCGGTGTGGACATCCCGATTGGCCTTCTGTGGGCCACCGGAGGGGCCGTGAGATGATACTAGGAGGCGGTCGGCTCCGTCAAATACACTGTCAAGTACGATTCGGTACGAAGAGGCGGTCGGGGCTGGAGAATAGCCCAAACGTCCAATTGCCTTACCATGGGAAGCCACATATTTAGGTCACGCATGTTGGGCGCACTGGTATCTTACGAGCACGCCTCCAGAACACGCGAGGAAGTGCCCCTTGCTCCTGGGAGGCTCCTGCTACGCCCTGGGAGCGTGAGACGGATAGGGCCTCCCCCCTTGCACATCCCCTCTGGTGTTGAGGAAATTCCCCACCTGCCACGCCGTTCGGGGACGGATGGGGGAATCCCCCCTTGCGTGCGCACCACCCAGTGGTATCGAGGCACTGCCACGCCTGCCATGCCTTGTGAGCGTGGCACGGACAGAGGACCCCCTCCCCTGCGCACACCAGCCGGTGTCATGGAAACGGCACGCTTGCCATGCCTTGGGAGAGTGGCACGAATAGGAGAACCATTCACTGCGAACCCCTCTGGTGTCGAGGCCTGCGAAGCGCCTGCGAGGCTGATGAGAAGCTCCTGCGAGGCTCCTGCGAAACTAAGCGGGTCTCCGGGAAGCGGTCGAGAGTTCGGGAGGCCGAGTATTTCCAGGCCTCGCAACTGAGACCAGAGCAGATTGGTTTGAAGGATCGCGCAACAATGCCGATACGTCGGCGATGCGGCTCGATGCGGAGCCCGATGTGCTCCACGCCGACCTTGCCGATGTACCGGCGATGCGGGGTGAACCTCCGACCCAATGTATTCTTAGCTGCCCTGATACGCCTGTGTTGGAACGCAACACGTGCCGTGTTCAAAGCGTCCGTGTTAGCACGTTGCGTGTTGGCTCTGCACGTGTTGGTCCACGTGTTGGCGAACGTGTTGCGCCAGACCTCCGTCTCCAGCCTACTGTTTGGGTTTCGTGTCAACACGCTATGTGTTGCGTGTTGTTTATCGGGGCAGCTAAGGCTGTATTCAGCCAGACCCCTGTCAGACCCCACTAGGGAGGCCTCGAGTCTCGAACGCAAATAACGGCGTCCGATTTCTGGGGAGGGGTGGGGGTCGAGCGGAAGAGGGGATGGTGCAGGGCAGCGAAGTCGAGGAGTGAGGCTTATGGAGTACAAGTCCGCTCTTACTCGTGGCTCGTTCTTCTTCTTTTTCCCCTGCTCCTCCTCCCTGCTAAGTATCGGGGACACGTAAGACTCGAGTACGGCGGAACTCGTGTTTGTGGACGTTTTTCGGCGAGCGCGTCATGGATTTTGACGGACCAGTCTTCCTGGGATGTTTGCGGCGGGAGTTCCCGTCGAATTTCAGATTGTGGGCCGCGTCATCGTCATGATGGCCCGTCAGGCCAACCCGAGTCCTCCCTGGAACCCGAGCCTTACGTCTCCCTGAGATTCGCTCGGTCCGCGGCCTCTTCCTGTTCCTGTTCTCCTCCCCGCACCCTCCCCAGGACGGGCTGGCGTGGGAGAGCACCTGGATGTGATCTCGCTCCTCCCCTCAGTGGGCCCTGGAAACGACCGGGCGGTTTTTGATTTACCGTTTCCGTTTCGTCGTTTTTGTTGCTGGTTCCGACGCCGTTTTGTTGTTGGTCCCGGCTCTGGTTCCAATCCCGGAGTAGGTTTTTTGCCGTGCGGTGGTTGTTCTCTTCAAGCTTCCATTTCCAAAAGACATTATTCCGGAAATGTTGAACAAAAACGGCCCTACTCGTCCCGGGGCCACTCAGTTCATCCCTGTTTGTGGGGTTCGGGCCTCTTCCCGTGGCTCTCCCATGCTGGCTTATCTGTCCCTGTTGCCTGAAATATCCCTCACCGTCCTCAACCTTCCCCCTCCGTGGGAGGTAAACGTGGGGGAAGGCAGGTATGGCATGGCCAGACTGGGGAAGCCAGGTCGGAATTGGTACTCGGCTCTTCCCACCGTTCCAAGACCCCCGACGTGGTGGTTCACGACGTGGACCCTGGACGTCTCGACCCAGTCCCCGGGACCGCCTTTTTCATCCTGAGTCGTCTGTGACGGTCTTCGGGCCCAGCGAGGGCTCCCAGAGACCGAAAATGCTGAAGTCGCCGCGAGGGGGTCTGGAGTTCGGATCACTTCAGGAGTCCATGCGGGGGAACAAGATATACCAGTGCGCGAGCTGCTCCTACGACATGTGCGAGGAGCAGCGTCGCACAGCGGGGCATCGTCATCTGCTCGCTGCCTCTGCGGCTGCAAGGGGGGAGCGGGCGCTCAGCAGGAGGAGGCGGAAAAGGAGGAATAGCAGGGCGATGACAGAGGAGGACAAATTGCATAGATAATGAATTTGCTCCGAGCGATCCCCACCAAAACCTTCTGCGTTTGTGCCCAGCGGTGCGCGCGCCTGATGGAACGATGTGCGCGGGGCCTGGCGGTCTCGGCCAGCGCCGCGGCCAGGACAGGTCGCAAGTTGTTTGTCTTTCCCAAGTATCCTGTGGTGTTGGGTCCTCGTTTTGACGAGACAGCGCCCCGCGTCTCCTCCTCCTGTCTCCTCCCTCCTCTTCTCCACCCCTTCTTCCCCCCATCATCATCATCATCATCATCATCATCATCATCATCATCATCATCATCATCATCATCATCATCATCATCATCATCATCATCATCAGCATCATCAGTATCATCAGTATCATCATCATCATCATCATCATCATCATCATCAGCATCAGCATCAGCATCAACATCAACATCAGCATCATTACCACCACCATTACCATCATCATCAACAGCATCATAATCATCAGCATCAGCATGATCATCATGATCATAATCATCATCATTATCATCATCATCATCATCATCATCAGCAGCAGCAGCAGCAGCATCAGCATCATCATCCCATCATCCGAGTATCCCTATCCGTGCGCCCCGCATCAATTTCGGCACACCCCTTACACGATCCGTGGTCCCATAGGGAGCTCCGCCGAAGGTCCCAATTGCAGGTTCTGTATGGCGCCACCGCACCCATGTCGGCACACCCCTCACAGTTGCGGGGTTCGCATGGCGCCACCGCGCCCATCTCGGCACACCCCTCACACGTTCCGTGGCCCCACAGGAAGCTCCGCCGGAGGCCTGAGTTGCGGGGTTCGCATGGCGCCACGGCACGCATGTCCGCACACCCCTCACACGTTTCGTGGCTCCATATGGCGCTTCGCCGAAGGCCCGATCGGCAGGGTTCGCATGATGCCACCCCCGTTTCGACACATCCCTTTCAGGTTTCGCGGCACCATATGGAGCTCCGCCGAAGGCCCCAGTTGCGGGGTTCGCATGGCGCCACCGCACCCATGTCGGCACACCCCTCACACGTTCCGTGGCCCCACTCCATAGGAAGCTCCGCCGGAGGCCCCAGTTGTGGAGTTCGCATGACACCACCGCACCCATTCTGGCACGCCCTCACACGTGTAGTGGCCCCATAGGAAGCTCCGCCGTATCCCCCCATTGCAGGGTTCGCATGGTGCCACCGCACCCATGCCAGGACACCCCTTACACGTTTTGTTGCCCCATCGGGAGCTCCGCCGAAGGCCCCAGTTGCGGGGTTCGCACGGCGCCACCGCACCGATTTCAGCACACTCCTGACATGTATTGTGGCCCCCTAACAGTGCTCCATCGAAAGCGGTCAGTATTCACAGATTGTTGGGTCTTTCGCCAGGATGCTTGTTCGAAAGGCTAACAACTCCAGGGCCCCTGACGAAGAAACCGAAGCAAGTTTCCGGTGCGCCAAACCAGCCTCCGAAACGCGTCTTGCGAGACCCAAAAACTCGTTCGTAAAGAATCCGCTCTGCGCTAAAAGAAGAAGAGGAGGAGCAACAGCGGCAGCACGAGGAGGAGGAGGCGGACGACGAAGGAGGGGAGGAGGAGGAGGAGGAGGTGGTGAGGCGGACCTCTCCCTCCTCCTGCTCCGGACGCCCCGTCATCTGACGACGGGGTGCATGTCGCGTTTGGTGAGACGCCGTGAAGTGGCTGCTGGCTTATACGCAATACTGGGCTACGTTATGTTCGGTACGATGTCGCCCCAGTGTTGTATATGGCATAATGTTCTGTGATGGTATGTTGTGGACGGGCTGGCGTGACGTCGTGACGCCTGTCACGTTTGGTATGTGTTGTAAGTACTATTGTTACTGTTCGTTTCTATGGCCAGCTTGGGCTTTGCGCGCATGTCGCGTATGATAGGCCGCCAGTGATCGGTCGCTGCTGTAATGTATATGTAACGTTGTGATCGTTTTTGTTATGTTCAATGCGCATGTGCTGGTTTCTGTTCTGCTCTCGACGAAACGACATGACGTTGTGACGTCCGTCGTGACGTCTGACGACATGACGTCGTGTCGCCTGGGCGGTCATTGCTGCGCCTGGTTTTCCTGTGGCCAGGCGCGGACGTTGCATTTGACAGTGCGCCCTTGAATTGTCGCTGTCGTATCTAACAGTGTTCACTTATGGCACGCTCGATCATGTTCTATACTGCGATGCAACATGTACAATGTCGACAGGACGGCGCCACGCCGTGACGCGTATCACCTTGTATACGTCGTCCGATCGGTCGTTATTGCACTTGTTTGTAGCCCATTGTGTTATGAAGGTCATCTTCAAGCTTGCGTTTCTCTTCTGTCCGAGTATGTTATGTTATGTTCACCTCTGTCATCATATGATGTGCTATGATATGGCATGGTTTGCTCTGTGGCACCGCTCGCCGAGATAAAGCATCACGTGTGATCTGCCAGACTCGGTTGTGCCATGCTCATGCCATGCTTTTGTATGTGATGATGTTCAGGGTATCCGCAGTTCGCTCACTCCTTTTACATGAGACATGCAGCTTTAATCAATCAATCATAGTATATCTTAATCGTTGACGTCGAGGTGCCAGTATTATACGAATTATGCTATAGTGTGCTGGTTACGGTGTGCTCAATTATTTGTACGATGCGGGTGTGATAGTGTTCTACTCTGTTGTGCTCTATCGTGTCTGTTCTGTTTTCGACGGACCAGCGTGGCGTCGTGACGCCTGCCACGATAGATACGTCGTCCGATCGTTCGTTGTTGTGCCTGTTTGCTCCTTTGGCCAGGCTGACCTTGGCGAGCACGTCGCGCCTGGTGAGGTGGTAGTAAACGCATGTTGCTGTGATGCAAGGCTTTGTCATGGCATAGAGTATGGTGATCCTGTCTCATGCTATGATACGTTATGTCACGTTGTGAGATGTCTGATCTCGCCGCACGGCCGACCGACCGACCGAGCACGAGCAGGAGCCGATGCCCAGAGGGGGGGGGGCGGGCAGGGGCATCGGCGGCAGCGACGACAGCAGCAGCAGGACCAAGACGACGGCGAGGGCGAGGGGCAGGATCACTGTCATCTTCCTCCGCGGCGTCGTCCTCCTCCTCCTCCTCCTCCTCCTCCTCCTCTCTCCCCTCCTCCCTCTCCTTCCCCTTCCTCCTCCCCCTCCTCCTCCTCCTCCTCCTCCTCCTCCTCCTCCTTCTCTTTCCCTCCTCTCTCTTTCCCCCCCTTCTGCTCCTTTCCTCCTTCTCTGCGGGCCTCCGAGAGCAGCCACGAGGCACATGCCAACGCCAGGCCAGAAGCCACCGAGAACCGCCGGAGCCCTGCGACCTGCGAGAGCCTCCTCCAGCCTCCTCCCCCGCCTTCCTCCTCCCCGCCATTCCCCCGCCCCCCCCCGCCCCTCCACCTCTCCCCCTCCCTCCACATCCCCCTCTCCCATCCCTCCCTCGCCCTCCTCCCCCATTTTCCCCCGCCCTCCACCTCTCCCCCATCCGCATCCCCCTCTCCCTCCCTCCCTCCCCAGCACTCCTCCCCAGACGGCATGCAATCGGTGCAATGCGAAAAAGACTTCCCCCCATTTCCCCCCCAGTCGTGCTACTTCCATGGCATCCAGCAGATCTCCCTCACGAGGCCGAAGGCCGTGCCTCAGGGGGGAGGGCGGACGAGGGGGGGAACCACGGGCAACGATAGGGGGAGGATAGGCACGGGCCCCCAATCGCCCATTGATCGCCGATAGGAATCTGACAGCCCCACCCCTCCCAGGAGCGTGCGCATGCGCTACCGCGGGCCTGTCGTCGATCGATCGGCGATGTGTCGCCGATTCCAGGTCGGTGCGTCCCCCTCTATGCCAGCCCCCCCCACATCGTTGCCCCTCAGCGGATGGGATCCGAGGATCGCGCCGCACCGCTGATGCATCGTTGACGTCGGCGTTGGGGAAGTCGGTCTCCACATCGAGCCCGCACCGCCGATGCATCGGCGATGCGGCTCGATCCGTCGGAGGGGGGGGGGGGGGGGGGGCGCTCCCCGAAGTCGGGACCTGCCGCCTGACTGCGCGTGCCGCCTCGCGCCGCGAGGGGGGGGGGCTGCCTCTCTTGATCTCGGGCCCGTGGGAGGAGAAGGAGAATGAGGAGGATGAGGAGGAGGAGGAGGAGGAGGAGGAGGAGGAGGGGAGGAGGAGGAGGGGAAGGAGGGAGAGAGGAGGAGGAGGGAGACGCAGGAACAGGAGGAGGAGGAGAAGGAGAATGAGGCAGGAGGAGGAGGAAGAGGTGGAGTTGGAGGATGAGGAGGAGGAGGAGGAGGAGGAGGAGGAGGAGGAGGAGGAGGTGGGAGGAGGGAGGAGGCAGGAGGCAGGAGGCAGGAGGCAGGAGGAGGAGGAGGAGGAGGAGGGAGGAGGAGAAGGAGGAGGAGGAGGAGGAGGAGTGAGGAGGGCGTCGCGGTCTGCGTGGACCGAGTGCTCTGCTTCTGGGAGGACACCTCCTGTTCGATCGGGGCTCACGTAACGGGGATCAGCGCTAACAAGGTTTAGCCAATCCTCTCTGGCGGACTCGGGTTTGGGAGCCACGTTGGGCCGACTCCCCCTTCCGCCCGCAGCTTACCTGGGCTTGGCAGCTCATGAGCGGCTGGCCGGGCTTCGCGACTCGACCTCCCTGGCCGACCCGGGTTTGTGCTGACCCGGGCCAGTGCGTCCGTTCTTCGACTCGCCGTCGTCCTCGCTATGCTCGCTACAGGCCGCTGCACCCCCTCCGTCGGGACCGCCAGCGCCCGCCGGGCGGGCACCTCCGAGAGGGGCTGGTCCCGGGCGGAGCATCAGCGGCACCCCGTCCTCGTCCGCGCTCATCTGCCCGCCATCTCGTCTTTGTCCCCCGCCCCCCCCGCCCCCCACCCCAGCCCTTCCACCCCTCCTGTCCCCGCCGGAATGTGTCTATACCCTCCTCCTCCTCCTCCTCCTCCTCCTCCTCCTCCTCCTCCTCCTCCTCCTCCTCCTCCTCCTCCTCCTCTCTCCTCGGCCGCGGAGCGCCCTGTTCGCGTAGTTTCAACACATGTGTCCATACCCCACCGTTTCGGAGCCGTGCCCTGGGATGCCGAGGAGTGGTGAACCATATAGAAGTCCGCCCGCCCGCGTGGGCGGGCAGCTGTTCACATCCACTGCTCCCCGAGTCTCCAGGACACGACCCAGCGTCAGCGGATAGAGGCAGATCCTGACAGCGCATCCCCCTGTCGCAGATCATTGGATACCGATGCTTGTTCGGTAGCGACCGATTGGCTCTCCAGCTCGGTCGCGACCTATCGCGACCGATCCCCTACATCGGTCGCGACCGGTCGCCACCGATCGCGACCGATTGGTCGCGACCGATCGGTCGCAACGTCGCAACCGATCTTGAAGCAAAGCGGCCGCCACCGATACCGAACGTCGAAGCAAACTCGGGAGCTTCTTGTCGGTCGCGATTGGAAAATTCCAGCATACGACGATCAGAGGATATCCTGACGGCGCATCCCCTTCTCTCCCTCCACGCCTCCCCCCATCCCCCTTGGCCTCGCGTGCCCGAGGCGAGGAGGAGCCCGCTGTACTCACGGGAGGCTTCGACCCTCGGGCCCACATACGGGCTCGCCGCTCCCCCGGCAATCGAAGCGCGTGACCTTCTCGTTCTTTCGTGGGCAGCCGAAGCGAACCACTCCATAAACAAACATGAAACAACGCCATAAACATAAACTCTTGGCTCTCCGCGCGGCTTTCTCGGATCCGCGCTGGGCCCCCCCCGCGGCGGCGCCTCCGGCGCCGCCCCTGGCGCGCTCCGCGCGCCAGGGGGGGAGGTTCCGCGCAGATCCAAGACATCCGCCTGGATCGCCAACATTTTATGTTTATGGCGTTTTTCTTGTTCTACTCCCTTCTCCCCCACTTCCGTACCAGGGTTACCAGGGGGGTGCACCTGCGGGGCCAAGCGGTGGATGCTTCCCTCCAGCCAGGACCCGTTCCCTGGTTGTTGGGCTGGACTAAGGACACACGATATGTGCACATCGATATTAGGTACACCAGCGTTGTTTTCCCCAGCTGCCCTGTTTTAGTCCGCAAGTGGTCCAGCTTTGTTGACTGTATGTGTGTGACTTAGTCGTCCCCAGCGTTCATTGGTCTTGGTCCTGGTCTCGGCATCCTCACTTGTTCGGGAAGTGCCCATCGCTCTTCTACAGTGGGGGCCCATGCCAAGAAACACCCTGCTTGCCTCCAGGGTTCCCTGGGTTTCTTGGGTTTCAATGGTTTCGCTGTGAAAAAGCATAACGTTCCCATACCAAAAACCAATGGACGTCCTGGGGTCTCAGGGTAGGGTTTCTTGTGGAAGGTTTCTTGTGGACTGGCCTCCACTGTACCTTGGTACTGGGCCCAGGATGGGCCTGGCCACGACTGGCGCAGGTTGGCCTCCTCCTGCTTGCCTCCCGCTCACCCCCGCTCCGCTCCCCACGGCGGGGGGGAGGGAGGACGACGAGAAGCACGGGAGCAAAGAGGTGGATGAGGAGGAGGAGGACGAGGACGAGGACGAGGACGAGGAGCGAGGAGCGAGGAGCGAGCGAGGAGGAGGAGGAGGAGCAGGAGGAGGAGGAGGAGGAGCGGGGAGGAGGAGGAGGATGGGGAGGGTATCATAAGGAGGACGCATGAGGATGAAAGGAGGGAGGGAGGGAGAGAGGGAGGGAGGAGAAGGAGGACGACGACGAGGACCAGGAGGAGGAGAGCTCTTGAGGCTACGAACTCCGTCACCTGCGGGGACTCGGAGCTCCCGATCGTGGAGCTGAGGACGGGCGTGCAGCACTACCTCGACCGGCTCTACTGCCTCCGCGGCGTCCCCTCCGCCCTCCACGGCGCGCAGCTGGTGAAGACCCCGTGGCGAGCCAGGGCTACAAACTTCACCGGGAGGGTTTGAGCGCCGAGGGCCTGTGCGCGCAGGATAGGCGGGAGAGCTTGGCTGTCTCCCCCCCTCGCCACGCAGCGAATCGAAGAAGACCAAACGCCATACAAACTCTTTGGCGCGATGCGCTGGGGCCCCTTGGCGGCGCCTCCGGCGCCGCCCTTGGCGCGCTCAGCGCGCCAGGGAGGGACGTCCAGCTCAGATCCTAGAAATCCGCCGGGACCGTCGAGAGTTTAGGTTTATATGTTCTTTCTTTTTCTAGCGAGGGTGCCCTGAGGATTATTTCAGCCAAAGATGTATGTGTCTTCTTCTTTTAGTTTCTCTTTCTCCAATTACGATGTTTTTCTTGTAGTTCCTTTCGCCCTGCTCGGGCTCCTGGGGTGTCCTCCACGGGCCACAGGAGCACCACCGAAATGGCTCGGGATGAAAAAAGGTGGCCCCCCCTCCTCGGAGGGCAAGAGACGGCATGACCACACAAAGCTTCGGAGCTCCACGCAGATTGCTTGGATCCAAACTGAACGGCTCCCCCCCGGGTGGCGCCTCCCCGCCGCCTCCCTGGCGCGCTCCGCGCGCCAGGGCAGGGGGTCAAGTGCCGATCCAAGAAAGCCGCGCAGACCTTCGCAAGCTGCTTACGCTTCTGTAGCTTTGCTCTTCTTCTGCCCCCCTCCTCCTCTGCCCCTCGTCTCCGAGCTCGAGCTCTCGAGCTGTTGGCCTTTGTTCCCCGAGGATACGGTCATCTCCGCCTCCTCCTTTTTCAGAATGCGGCGCTCGCCCTTGCGCCGCGCACGGTATTCTTAAACATTTGCAAAAGTTCCATTTGGTTCCCATGGTCAACGTACCAGACATGGCCCAGCGTCCTGGAACGATTCAGAACTGTCAGGGCGTAACAATTACGTAGATTCCCGGAACGGAAGTCCCAGGAACTATGATCTGGCACGGTTCTGGTTCGCCAAGACGCAACAGTGTCAGGTTGATGTGTGGCGTTGGGGTCCCGAGAATGGTGTTTTGGCACGCTTCAGGATCTTCAAACGGTTGTCTCCCACTGGGGCACTCTGTTCAGTGGACATGATTCCTCGTCTGGGGCCTATGACGAGGGAGTTTGCGGGGAGGGTTTCGTCCAACATCGTATTGGTCATCCTCTCCCTCTCCTCATCCTCCTCGTCGTCGGGTGTCTGGGTTGCAAGAAGTTGCTGTCCTTTTGCTATTGCTTGCTCTGTCGAGGCCTCCGCGGCATCAATGGGCGTCTGGGTTGCAGGAGGTTGCTGTACGTTTGCTGCTGCTTGCCCTCTCGAGGCCTCCGCGGGACCAAGGGGGCCCCCGTGGGCCTCTGGAGACGCTCCTCGCCCCGCCTCCCTCCTCAGACATTTTCTAGCCTTGGCGACGCAAGTCACGGCACGCGCTTGATTCAGCGGCGAGCGAGGGGGGAAGTGAGAGGAGAAGGCCCTCTCAGAAGGCTTCTCAGAAGCTTTCGGGCCTTTGAGAGGTTTTCTGCGTCTCTTGGGGAGGCTTAGAAACTGTTCAGACTGCCAGGGGACTTCGAGCCTTCTGAGAAGGCCCGCCCCTTCTCACTTTCTCCCCACCGGACTCGCCGCCGATAGTCTTTGCGACGCATATCACGGCGCGTGCTGAATCTCCACGACTCTTGTGCCCCAGGTTGCCGCCCTCGAACCTCGCGACTCGGAAAGAGCAGCCCGTGTGGAAGCACCGGTTTCCCTAGGGCAGGGCCGAGGTCTCGGGCATCGTCCCACGATCACGGCGTCGAAGGTACAGTCGGCGCGCATTGGCATGTCGATCCTGCAACTTCAAGGGTGCTCTTGTGTCCTGTCCATCTCTTCTCATGTCCTCTGCGTGTTTGGACTAAGGGTACCCTTGTGTCCTGTGGCTATTGGAGGCCATGTTGCAGTCGGAAGAGTCTCTCCCCCCCTCGGCCTCTCCGAGCGCCGCGCACGCCGAGAGCGCACCTCTGGCGAGATCCCCTCGAGCGCGCGGGTCATTGTGCTGCGGCATCCGTGACCACTGGCGGCCATGCCTCTGTCGAACAATCGCTCGGCGGCGTTCGAGGGGGCTGGAGTGAGAAGGAGACGGCCTTCTCAGAAGGCGGCGGGACTTCTCAGAAGCCCTGGCGCCTTCGCACAAGTTTTGTGCGTGTCTTCGGGGAAGGCCCAGACAACTTCTCAGAAGACCGGGGGATTTGCGAGCCTTCTGAGGATGCCTTCTCCTTCTCACTGGCCCCCTCTCATGAACAAACGTATGATTGTGGGTTTGGGTTGGTATTCGCCCTCTCTGGGCCCTTGCTGTGCCTCGGAGCCGTCAAAGAGCACTTCTCGGGATGAAAACCGGTCCACGGGAATGGGTCGAGACCCTTGGAGGTCGACATTTTGAACAAATCATGACGTCAGTGTTCTGGGGACGAGGAGAAGGAGGAGGAGGAGGAGGAGGAGGAGGAGTTGGAGGAAGGTAAGGAGGATGAAGAGAAGGAATGTAGTAGGAGGAGGAGGAGGAGGAGGAGGAGGAGAAGGAGGTGGAGAATGAGCCTGGTCTCCCCACGCTCGCCACATCTCCCCCCCGCCCCCCTTCCCCATATCGTTGGATGACAGATTCTGTTGTCGCTGTCGGTCGCAACCGATCGACACTCCAAGTCGGTTGCGGCCGATACCGAACATTGATGCAAATATTGGCACAGTCAACCCGCACAGTGAGGATTCATGGCGCCAGCCAACATCGCTGAGCGGATTTCGTTCGGAAAACAATAGGATGGACCCGGAGTGTCCTAGAGAATTCCGTCCTGGATTTCGAAGTGAATATCGGGCGAATTTTGTGGGGCCAGGAATTCAGACTAAAATTATCCCAGTGCGACCTTACTTAGGAGTTGGAGCATTTAGGAAAGCAACATCTACATCCACACCGACAGCTGCAGTTACATCTACACCTGCATCTATGCTATGGTATGCTATGCTGCGCTATGCTATGCTAGGCTATGCTGAGCTATGTTATGATTGGCTATGTTTTGATATGCTATGCTTGGCTATGCTATGCTATGCTATGCTGTGCTAATGCTGCGTTAAGCTAAGGTAAGCTAAGCTCTACTAAGCTAAGCTAAACTAAGCTAAGCTAAGCTCGGCTAGGCTAAGCTAAGCCAAGCTAAGCGAAGCTAAGCTAACCTATTCAATCTAAGCTGAGCTGAGCTGAGCTAAGCTAATGCTATGCTATGCTAATGCTGCGCTAAGCTAAGGTAAGCTAAGATCTGCTAAGCTAAACTAAGCTAGGCTAGGCTAGGCTAAGCTAAGCCAAGCTAAGCTAAGCGAAGCGAAGCTAAGCTAACCTATATAATCTAAGCTGAGCTAAGCTCAGCTAAGCTACGATGAGGTAAGCTAAGCTTAGCTGGGCTAAGCAGCTATGCTAAACAAAGCTAAGCTTAGCTGAGCTAAGCTAAGGTAAGCTAAGGTAAGCTAAGCTAGGCTAAGCTAAGCTAGGGGAACCCAGGGGGCGCAACTGGGGGAACCGCGGGGCGGAGACTGGGGGAACCGCCCAGAGCGTTTTCCACTGCCCGGCCCTTTTAAGCAAACAAAGTAAGAACCTTCTAGGCAGACCCTAGGTAGGGAATGAAGGTAAGCTAAGCTAAGATAAAACTGAGGTAAGATGAAGCTAAGCTCAGGTAAGATGAAATAAGCTAAACTAAGATGAGATACGCAACGCGAAGCTAAGGAACGTCACTGGGGGAACCGCGGGGCGGATGCCGGGGGAACCGCCCGGGGCGAGCCCCACTGCCCGGCTCTTTAAGCTTAGCGAGTAAGAACCCTTCTAGACAGAGCCTAGGTAGGGAGAAATCCACGTGACATTTACTTCGTTGTTCGCTCGCCGGGTTGGGTTTTTGCATTGACAGAAATCCGCGCAAAAATCCGTTGCAGCACGTCTGCAAGCTCGGTGCAGTGAAAGGTTGAGCGACTTTTCAAGGCTACCCTTGCATTATTGTCCCTTCGGCCCATCCTTGGTAATTTTCGCTAGCCAACCTCGATCGGAAAATGTTAACACGGCCCTTCACAGCCCTTGCATCCTTACCGCGCATCCTTATTTTGGCCACGCGCAAAAGGGGGTGGGGTGAGGGGGGAGGGCTTCTTAGAAGCACCCCTGCTTCTTAGAAGGCCCGGGCCTTCTAAGAAGCAGCCTCCTTCCAAGAAGCCGGCCCCCTTCCCTCCACCCCCTTCGTGCGTGTCGCCAATCATTATACGGGTTGATTGTAGCGACCGATCTCGTCGGTCGCGACCGAAACATTCTGCATCCGATGATCAGAGTCCCTCCCAGCCAGTCCCCCCCTCTGCGCGGGGCCTTGGCCAAGGAATGGTTATTTGTGGGGCGTTCGGCGGCCCCAGGGGCGGAGCTCGTCGTCCTCCCCAGGGCTCATTTCGATTCCTCCGATTCGATTCGATTCGATGTCGATGGCCTCCGATTCCGATTCGATTCGACTTCTGATTCCGATTTGGATTCCGAGCTTTCAATGGAGGTCTACCAGCCTGCCGATTTCCGCCGACTCGACTTCTCCCGATTTGGCTGCCGATTCCGCCTATCCGATTCATGCCGATCGCCGTTCTGGGCTCTTCTGCCTCCCCCTTGCGTCACAGAGGCCTCCTCCGATGGGCGCCTCTCCCGGTTCGGTTTCCCGACCATCGAGTCTTTCCCCTCGGGGCCTTCCCAATCTGACCTCTGCCACACACCCTTCCCATGTCCCCCCCCGGATGCGCGCCCCCACCCTCTCACGGACAATTCCCCTCTCCCTGCCCCCATCTTCCTCTCCGCCCGCCTCCCGCCAGCGCAGGGCTCATTTCGATTCCTCCGATTCGATTCGATTCAATTTCGATGGCTTCCGATTTCGATTCGATTCGATTTCGGATTCCGATTTGGGCTTCGATTTCTCCATGGAGGCCTACTTGCCTGCCGATTTCCGCCGATTAGATTTTTCCCGACTCGGCTGCCGATTTCCTCCGATCCGATTGGTTTCGTTCGCTCGCCGATCCGAATTCTCGATTCAATTCTGGGCTCTCCTGCCAGCGCTGGCGTGGCGGATGAGAAAGGTCCGTCTAGTCCACGCGAGCGAAGCAAAAGCAGCGGGGTCGTCTGCGCAGACATCGGCGCGCAAGCTGCCCGCGTGAGGTCGTGCGTAGGCGCCTGCGTCTTCAGTGCAACATGCCTCGCTGGCGGCCCGCGTAAGCCTCCGCGCAATGTCGCCTTATCATCTCGCGCAGGACCTGATTTGCCGATTTTCCACCACCACTACCATAGACAGGAGAGTGGGGAAGAGACAGGAGGAGGAGGAGGAGGAGAAGGAGGAGGAGGAGGAGGAGGAGGAGAGGAGGAGGACCTCCCCTGCCTCCCCTCTCCCCCATCGTACATATGGTAGTGGTGGTGGTGGAACGTTGGCCCAGCAAGCTCGCTTTCTCCTCGTCGCCCACCTCTCGCTCTCGGCGAACGTCGGCTCGACGCCTCCCTGCGCTGCCGCAGCCAGCCCTCCCTCGCCAACCAAATGTCAGGAGGGGAACAACACAAACACACGCACACACACACACACACGCAGACACACACACATGCACACACACACACGCAGACACACACACACACACACACACACCCACGCACACACACACACACACACACACACGCACACACACACACCCACGCACGCACGCACGCACGCACGCACGCACGCACGCACGCACGCACGCACGCACGCACGCACGCACGCACACACACACACAGACACACGCGCACACACGCACACACACACGCACACACACACACCCACGCACACACACACACACACACACACACACACACACACACACACACACACACCACACACGCACACACGCACACACACGCACACACACATGCACACACAAACACCATGAATCGTCGATTCCCGTGACCATATGAGCAAATGTGGATAGTTGGGGGGAGGACGAGAACCCAGAATATTTAGGAAGATATAAGGAATCTTGGGATTGATGTCTATTCCCAACCAAGGCTCTGCCTAGAAGGGATCTTACTCGTTTGCTTAAAGGGCCGGGCGGTGGAAACCGCCCCGGGCGGTTCCCCCGGTCCCCTGGGAACCAAGCAACAGCATCAGCAAAGGTGAAAGCAAACGCGCGGTTCCCCCAGTTGCGCTCCCTGGGTGCCAAGCAAAAGCAAAAGCAAAGGCAACAGTGAAGGCAACAGCAAAGGCAAATCAAAAGCATAGCATAGCATAGCATATCATAGCATAGCGCAGCATAGCATAGCGCAGCATAGCATAGCACAGCCTAGCCTAGCCTAGCCCAGCATAGTATTGCGCAGCATAGCATAGCAGAGCAGAGCAGAGCAGAGCAGAGCAGAGCATAGCATAGCATAGCGCAGCACAGCATCCACTATTGATGCTGCTATATTTAATGTTGCTTTCGTAGAGGATCCAACTCCTAGGTAGGGTCGCACTGGGATAATTTATTTCTGTGTCCCTGGGCCGCTTCAAAATGCCCCACTCGCAGGGTCCCTTGCCCCCCCCCGCGGGATTGGCAGCCCACGAGGCAAGCGGGAGGCATGGACTTCCGCATCATGGTGGGCGACTGCACGGTCTGCGTGCTGCTTGCGCACGGGGCCAAGAGCGATTACCCTTCCGGCGCGGACGAGCTGGAGAGCCAGCTCCGGAGGCTAAGTTTCTCGAAGGTGGTGCTCCACGAAATGAGGACCCTGGAGCCGGCCGGGGGGCTGGGGTGGCCCAGCCAGGGTTCCGGAAAGCAGAGGAGAGGGGGGGGGCGCCACAGCTGGGCGCTTCGACCCCGGGAGGGGCCTGGGGGCCGATGTTGAGCGGGTCTGGCCTTGCCCGCCCCCCGTCTTGGTTGAAGTCGGGCATGCCCCTCTGCAGGAGGAATATTCCAGCATAGGTTGTAAAACAAGTCTGGAGAAGACTGCTTCTAGTATTTTCGACTATTTGGGAATCAGTTTCTACTGCTTTTCATTTCTGTTCCAGAATCCGCCTGTGGTAACTCTTGACCGATTTCGCGGGGCCCTTCCAGCGCAGACCCCCGCGGCGCCGCTGCCCTGTGAGGACCGACTCCTTCCCGGGCTCGGGCGTCGACCTGTGGAGGCGCCCCGTGGATTCCCGCATCGTCCTGTCCATCCGGACGAACTCCGACATCGAATTCAATATCTGCTTCATCGACAGCGAGATGGACGCGCCAGCCTCGGGGGGCGGTGTGTGCGCATGTGTTTGTGGGCTTACATATGTCGATATGTGTGTGCACATGTATAAGATGTAGATGTGAGTGCGCATATACATATATATATATATATATATATATATATATGTATAAGTGGCTATGTATAAGTATTGCATGCCTGTGAGTGTGTGAGTGTGTGTGTGTGTGCACGTGTGTGTGCTGTGCGCCTGCACATATTGTTTGTGTGTGCACTGGTTCGTTTGCGTGAGTGCTTGTGTTTGTGTGTGTGTGCGATTGTGCCTGCGCGATTGCTTGTGTGTGCGCTTGTAGTTCGGCTCGCGTGTTCGCGACGTGTGTCATTGTGCCTGCACGTTTGATTGTGTGTGCTTGTGGTTTGGCTTGTGTGTTCGCGACCTTAGTCCTCTCTTGCCCACGGCTGTCTTCGCTTAGCCCAGTGGTTTCTATCCAGGTGCTTGCGGCCGATCCGCCGCCATGCCAGCGAAGCACCCTTTGCCCCGACGCTTCGAACACAGAGCGGAATGCCGCCACACGCGACACCTCTCGAGGATCTACAGTGGAGGCCCATGCCAAGAAACACCCTTCTTTCCACCAGGGTGCCCTTGGTTTCTTGGGTTTTGATGATTTTGCCATGGGCAGCGTGGCGTCCCCACACCAAAAATCATTGGACGTCCTGGGGTCTGAGGGTTGGGTTTCTTGTGGACTGGCCTCTACTGTATCCTTTGGGTTCTTGCGGACGTCTTGGGGCTGTCGTTGGCTCTGAGGCTGTTTTGGGGCTCGCTTGCGGCCCTCTTGGTATTAGCTGGGCTCGCCCCCAGACGCCAGCATCGTACGCATCACTGGGCGAGGGGCCTTCCTGCACCGCTTGGACCCCAGGGCCAGGAAGAGTTCATATCTGCTGCCGCCTGCGCGTCACGCACGCTTTCGCCCTCTGAGGCCACGGATTACCCTGATCCGAGTTGGAGCCGTCTGGGGGCCTGCGTCAAGGGAGGAAAAACCACCCACACCCGACGGTTGGCGTGTACTACACGGCCTTGGGCGTTTACTGAACAGCCCTGCCCTGTTCGATTCTTTCCCTTCCCTGGGTGCGTTTGCGAAACGGCTTCGCGCGTCGGTGTGATCATGATCGGGGTGGCGTTTCTGTTCTCTACTGAGGGTGGCCTAGCCCTCGTCCGGCCAGCATGGAGGGAGAGCGGGTTCGAGGTTCTGGGTCCGAGGAGGATTTGCGTTGCCTTTATTCGGCGGCCGGGGGCCGCTGCCGGGCCCCGGGGACCGTGGACAAAACTGATGCGGGGTGAAACACTGCACCAGATGTGGACCCTTTGGGAGGGGTCCAGGGACCGACTCAGGGCAGTGGCGTCGGCCTCACCCCCCCCCCCTCCCTGAGTCAAGGGGAAGAGCGTGAAGGGGCAAGCCTTCTCAGAAGGCTCGGGCGGGGGCATGTGGGAGGGTTTCCCAGTTGATGGAGGGTGAAGAAAAGGGCCCTACAGGGGCCCTTCGGAGCCCCTTTTGGGCCCCTGCTGGCTCCAACTCCTGGGCCATCTTGAGGCCATCTTGGGCGTCTGGATCTGCGCTGGACCCCCCCATCCCTGGCGCGCCGAGCGCGCCAGGGGCAGCGCCGAAGGCGCCGCCAGGGGGCCCAGCGCAGATCAACAAAAATCCGCGCGGTCCGCCGAAAGCTCATGTATCTTGGCATCGCTCGGACGTTTGCGTATTCTCTTGGCGAGGACCATCGAGGAGCATCCTGGGTCATCGAGCAGAAAAGACGCGCACAACATCGAAACACGCAACAGAAATTGGACGTCCGAGCGATGGCGAGTTTATGCAGTCGTCTCTGCCTCCACTGTGGATCTCACGCGCTGCAAGGCTCGCCTGGGGAAACCAGAAGGTACCGATACCGCTGCTCCCTGAACCTCTCCTGGAGCGCGTCCTGACCAGGATTTCGAGGTGCCTCCAGCAGTGGCGGCAGTGGCGACGAGGGCCTCCCAGGAGGCCCACGAAAGGGAAAACGAGGCAAGGGTAGCGTCAAGTCGCGCAAGCGCGGAAAGGGAAAACTCGGAGCGCACCAGGGGCGGCGCCAGAGGCGCCGCCAGGGGGGGGGCCCAGCGCGGATCCGAGAAATCCGCGCGGAGCTCCAACAGCTTATGTTTCAGTGGGGGCCCATGCCAAGAAACACCCTGCTCTGGAAAGCGTGACGTTCCCACACCAAATATCAATGGACGCCCTGGGGTTTCAGGGTTGGGTTTCTTGCGGAAGGTATTTAATTGTCGGGCCCCTACTGTATCGGTACCTTTCCCGCCTCTGATCGCCAGCGTGCGCGCTCGCACGCTCCTTGTGCACGGCCTCGCGGTGCCGGCAGCCTCCCCGAGGCCGTCTTGGCCCCGGGCTCGCGCCCCCCGCTGCGCCGTAAGCGCCGGGGCGGGGCGGCGCCACCGCGGCGCCACCCCATAGTCGCCCGCAGCCGGCGGCCGCATCGGGCGCTGCGTAGTGGGCTCGGAATTAAGTCGGGCACGTCCCTCTACAGGGGGAATATGACAAATAGTCCAAAGATATTCTGGGGACGATGTTTCGATGTTTTAAAAGTCAGTCTGACCACTTTGAACATCTTTTGCCTGTTTTTACATTTCTTCCAAAATCCGCCTGTCGGGGGACATGCCCGACCTGAGATTGGCATCGCTCGGACGAGTGCATGTGTCCCCCGTCGGGGACCATCGAGGAGCATCGGCTGTGGTGTGGTCGATTTGGCCGCACTGGGACGCCACATCGGCCACAACCAATATGAAACTGGTTTCGGTGTTCCGTCAAATTTTGGCATGCGCAAGACACCCTCCAGGGTGAGTCCTCGATGTGGTTGTAGTCGCCTGCTGTCCCCGCAGACGACACAATGGATGTACCTCAGATTTGTCTGTTCATCGAATCTACGAAACGAATAGGGTCGTACATCTACGAAGAATATCAATATTTCTCGTTGGTTCGACAAACATGTGAATTTAGAGTAGGTCAACTCTGTAGCCGATCTCCTACTCGAGAAATGTGAGGATGAAGAAATGTGCACCTTTAGTGCAGTTCAGGGGCCCTAAAGGGGCCTCTGGGGCCCACAGCAGGACTCTGACGGCGCCGCGGGGCCTGGAGAGGCCCCCAGAGATCAAAAACTGCAGAACATTTGCAGTCCTCCTTCGGGCGTCGGGTAACGGGGGTGCGACAGACAGGTTGGGGGGCGATGAAGAGAGGTGCACCTCTCGTGTATTTTTGGGGGGGCCTCGGAGGCCCCAAAGGGGAGGAACATGTGCACGTTTCTACGCCCCCCCACCGAGCGCCCCCCCATGTCGCAACGCCCCGCCGCAGCACGGGACGGCGCCTTCCAGGAGGATGGGGCGCCGCGAGCTCGGGCTGCTCGTGTGGCTGCTGGCCGGGCTCTGCCGCGACGCGCCGCCGGCGAGTGCGGCAGCTCAGAGGAAAAGCCCGGACCGCCGCCGCCTTGAGCCCATCGGCAGGGGGGTCGGGCCAGTCACCGGAGGCAAAAGCACCACTGCCAACAGGTACAGGGGGCTGGCTGTCCTACCCTTTCGAGTTGGTGGCACCTCGTTCCGGGCATGCCTCTGGAAAGTTCCCGGAATCAGGTGCCACCAGCTATAGAGGGGAGGGAGCGGCCGCCCCCCCAGCTGGTGGCAGTGGTATTCTTGTCTGTCCTCAGCCGTGGGCGGTGGCACGCTCGAGCGTCAACTGGCACTGGACGACGTTTCGGCACGCCATCGCCCACCCCGAACAGTAGCGATCGGCAGTGTCCGAGCGGCACTTCAAGATCGGCGGCGCACGATCGGAGCCGATTCCCCAAATCGGTCGCGACCGATCTGTCGCGGCCCGTCGGTCGCGACCGACTTTGAAGCAAGCCTGTCGCGACCAGAAAGTTCTGGCATCCGATGATCAGGACAGGGCTCGGATTTCTCCGATGGGCTCTCTGTGGCAGCGGTCCATGTTTCTCCTCTGATTAGAGGAACGAAGAACGACATAAACAACATAACTCAGGTCCGCGCGGATTTCTCAGATCGACACTGGACCCCCCTCCTTGGCGCGCGGAGCGCGCAAGGGGCGGCGCCAGAGGCGCCTCCAGGGAGGTCCAGCGCGGATCCGAGAACTCCGCGCGGACCTCCAAATTTGTAGGTTTCTGTCATTCGTCGTTCCCCTACTGAGCAGCGGAGCCCCGGGCCCCCACGGTCGCCTTCCACGCCGGCCTCGGCGGCGAGGCCTGCTGGCTGAAAGGCAGGACCGTCCGCCCCGTGGACGAGGCCAACCTCACGCGCAGCGGGTTCCTCGACATTCGATGATCCCCAGGACGTGTGCTGGCCCACGAGGGTGTTTGCCCCGCTCGGCTCCGCCGATGGCGCTCGAGTCTGTGTCGGCCTTCGTGGAGCCGTCTGCAGCGTATTGAAGGGCCTCGGTGGACAAGCACTCGTGTCGAAGAGAAAACGACATCAACATAAACTTTCGGCGCTCCGCGCGGATTTTTTTCTTTTATCCGCGCTGTGCTCAGAAATCCTAGCAATCCGCGTGGAGCGCCGAACATTTATGTTTTCTTGTGTGCCGTTGTTCTTCTTCTAACGTTGGCGCTAACAAGTACCGACACCGCCTACTCCCCAGACCTTTTCTGGGGTGCGTTCTGACCAGGATTTCGAGGCGACTCCAGCGGTTGCGACGAGGGCCTCCCAGGAGGCCCAAAGAGGGAAACCGAGACAAGAGAGCGTGAAGTCGCGCTTGTCCCCCATACAGGAATAATATTTAAACCTAGTCCGTAAATCGTTGGCTATGTTTGAGCATTGTCTCGTTTTTTGTTGTTTCTCTTCCAGAAGCCGCCTGTAGGAGGACATGCGCGACCCGAGGGTAGCGGTATGGGTACCTTGTCCCCTTCCGACCTGCGTCGTATGTGAAGGGCTTCGGTGGACAGGCACACGCTGGCGCCAGCACATCTTCTGAGCATCCTCGAGACCTCCGCTGGGACGGCCGGGCTGCCTGGCGGCGCCTCTCTGGCGCGGCCTGCGGCGAGGCCTGGCCGCCGGAGCCCGCGCCCGCGTGCGTCGTGGCCAGCGTGTCCGTGCTGCCCTCGCGGCTGCCGCTCTTCGAGCGCGCGCTGCGGTCGCTGCTGCGCCAGACGCGGCCTCCGGACCACGTGTACGTGGTCCTGCCGCAGCGGCTGAAGGACCTCGGGAGAGAAGAAGGCACGAACACCGCTCACCTTCTCTCGCTGTCCCCTTTCAGGTCCTTCTGGGAGGCCCTCGTCGCCACCGCTGGATTCGCCTCCAAATCTTGGTCAGAACGCACCCCGGGAGAGATCCGGGGAGTAGCGGTATCGCGCTCCGCGCGGATTTCTTGGATCCGCGCTTGGGCCCCCCTGGCGACGCCTCCGGCGCGCGCCCAGGGAGAGGGGTCCAGCGCAAATCCAAGGAATCCGCGCGGAGCGCCAAACGTTTATGTTCATGGCGCTTTGTCTTCTTCTAACAGCGGCTGGAGGACCGCACTGGCCGGCTGCACAAGCGCACTTTCGATGATCCGCTGCCCAGGTACCTCTTCACGGATCCCAGGGTGAAGGTGCTGAGGCCACCCGAAGAGGATGACCTCGGGACCTTGGACATGCTGGTGCCCACGCTGCGGGCGCTGCGAGCACGGCCGCCCCCGGGCTGCGCGGCCCCGCAGCGCGTCTGGGTGGTGAACGACGACGTGGAGTACGACGCGGGCCTGCTGGAGTCGCTGCTGGCGTGCGCGGCGCGGCACCCGAGTGCCGCGTGCGGGTCGACGGGCGGGCGCGGGTACTACGGCGTGCTGCACAAGGACCTGGCCGGTGGCACCGACGACGAGTTGAGGCATTGGAGCCGTCTGGGGGTCTGGAGGTGGTCCGGCACGGGCTCTGGCCAGCATGAGAAAGGCGGGCAGGTTCGAGGTTCGGGTTCGGTCCTGTGCCTTGCATTTGTCTGCCTCTTGGGGCTGTCTGCGGACCCCAGGGCCGTCCGAGAGAGGTCCAGGGGGTGGGGTCCAGGAACCGATTGTGAGCGGGTTTGGCTCCCCCCTCCTGACCGATATCCCAGACATCCGGCGTTTCGACTTTTTCGACACTCCAGCTCCAGTCTTCTCGACCTCGTCCCCAGGACAGGTTTTTCACCCCCTGTCGTTGTTTGACGGTCCCGAGGCCCGGTAAGGGCCCCGAGAGGACGAAAACTACTGGAAGGAGTGACGACTTTTTTTGTCGAGACGTCGGATGTCTGGGATTCTAGGGTTCCAACGAGTTCTGACCCCCTGGCCGCCTCCAGCAGAGGCGCGTGCAGCCCTTTCTGCGGGCGGGCGGGGAGGTCGAAGTGGAGTGGCTGCAGTCCGTGGGCGGGATCCTCTACCGCACCGACTTCTTCGCAGAGGACTTCCTCTCCTTCCCGCGGGACGCGGACGAGAGGATCCTGCTGGAGGCCGACTGGTGGTTTGCCGGCTACCTCCGCGCGCGGGGCGTGAGTCTGCTGCACCTTCCGGTGCTCCGGCCATGGTGGCGCGCGCTGAGGTCCTCGGTCGTGAACGCCCTCTCTCGGCGGTTCCAAGCTGGGGCCCTGAGAGGGGGAGCCCCGAGGAGGATTGGCCACGGACAGTAAGGCGTAAGTCGGGCATGTGCCTGTACAGGAGGCATATCCAAGAAGAGTCCAAAAACAGTATTGGGACGATTGTTCGATTATTGTTTTAGTAGTTTTCGACATTTTGGAGCTACACTTGCATTTGTTTCTAATATCCGCCTGTAGGATGACATGCCCGACCTACGGCTGGGGTACGCCCGCCCGGCCCGTGCGCGTTCCCATGCTCGGATGCCCAGAGGTCGGCACCAGCACCAATTGGCGGTTGTTGCTAGAGAACTGCCCCCAGCCCTCGGTGCCCCCCGGATCTCCAGGGATGCCCCCACGGCCTCCGGAGGACGAGAGGAGGAGAAGGAGGAGGAGGAGGAGGAGGAGGAAGAGGACCTAACAGGAAGGTTCAGCTTGGGATCCCTCCCCACGTCCTCGGGGCCCCACCCCTCTGGGTCCCGTTTTCGCACCGCCGGCCCCCTCCTACCAGTGGCGGCGGACGGGCCACAACCCAGCCAAGGACCAGGCCATCCTGTATTTCGCCCGGCGCTTCGGCATCTGGCGGGAGGATCGAGGAAGAAACAACGCCATAAACGTAATGTTGTGTCGGCAGCGAGTGAGGCGGGGAAGTTTGAAGCAGAAGGCCTTCTCAGAAGGCGGCGGGACTTCTCAAAAGCCATCGCGCCTTTGAGAGGTGTTTCGCGTCTCCCGGGAAGGCTTAGAAAACTTAACAGAAAGCCGGGGGACTCTGCGAAGGCCCGCCCTTTCTCCTTTCCCCCTCGGGCGCGTCGCCAATGTTGGAGCTCCGCGTGGATTTCTCAGATCCGCACTGGGCCCCCCCTGGCGGCGCCTCTGGCGCCGCCCCTAGCGCGCTCCGCGCGCCGGGGACCAGCTCAGAGCCAGGAAGTCCGCGCAGAGCGCCAGAAGTTTGTGTTGATGGCGTTCTTTGTCCTGGAGGAGTGCACGGGGCCCGCCGTCTGGGAGGACGAGTCCTGCCAGAGGGACATCGCCCACGACTCCACAGCGCTCTCGGGCGCCAGGGGGCGCCAGGCGGTGAGGTCCTCCCGGGCGGTCAGACACGATAGGGCGGTACACGCGCGATGAGGTGCCAGGCCAGGCGCCAGGGTGGTATGTATCGAAGCCTTGCTCCCATGGCGCTGCTCAGCCTTGCGTGTGCCCTCCCGCAAGCTGGTGAGGTCGACCGAGCCCCCGTCCCAGGAGTTGGGAAGTTCGGAAGCCCTCTCCCCGGCGGTGACGGAGGTGGCTCTGCTGCGCCACGCGCCGGAAAAAGAGAGACGCTCTCTGAGGTGCACGTGGAAGAACGTTTCTGCATGAGCAACAATCGTCGGAGGTCCAGTTGGATTTGTTGGGCCCGAGTGGATCTCCGAGAGTGTTTGTGTATGGCGTTGTTTGTTCTTCTAACATCTTCACTCGGCGGCGAGCGATGGGGGGAAATGAGAAGAAGGCGTTCTCAGAAGGCGGCGGGACTTTTCTCAAGGCCTCGGGCCTTCTGAGAAGTTCTTCGTGTCTTCGGGGAAGGCTTAGAAAACTTCTGAGAAGGCTGGGGAACCTCCGAGCCTTTGAGCAGGCCCGCCCCTCCTCGCTTCCCCCCGGGCTCGCCGCCGATTCACGCAGGCGATGGCGTCTTCCCGTCCCAGGGCGAGGCCCTGGGCCTTGCAGTGCGCGGCACGTCTGGCCGGCCGTCGCGCGGCGGACTGCGAGCGTGCGCTGGCCGACCTCGCGAGCGCAGCTGGGAGGCAGGGCGCCTCCTGCTGCTGTCGCGCATGCGTGACCAGTCGCCGCTCCCAGGTGCACCGGCAGGGGGAGGCAGGCCCAACTCAGGAGAGGGGAGATTCGCAGACACAATGAATCGTCGATCCCCAGGAAAAGATGGGAAAACACGGGAAGCGGGGGGGAGACGAAAACCCAGAAAATAGAATATTATACACCCCGCAATTGCGTATAAGAGTGAGGGGGCGGTGGGGTCGCGGGTGGGTCGCGGGTGGGTCGCGGGGTGGGTCGTGGGTGTGTCGCGGGTGGGTCGCGGGGGGGACGACGCAACAAAGCAACAACAAACCAACAACAATAATCTTCGCCGTGGATCCCCACTTCAGCCACGCACCCAGGGACAGTGAATGACCGTTCGGGCCCCCTCACTCTGACAATATAGGGAATCCTGAGATTTGTGCGTATCTATTTGTGTGTCCCTGGGCCCCTTCATCAAGGGGGAATCGAAGAATAATAAACTCCATAGGCGCTCCGCGCGGATTTCTTGGATCGGCGTCCAGGCCCCCCAGCGGCGCCGGAGGCGCGCTCTACGCGCCAGGGCCGGGGGGTCCAGCGCAGATCCAAGAAATCTGTGCGGAGCTTCAAAAGTTTATGTTTGCGCTGTGTTTTTTCTTCTGGGTAATGCATATAATCCCCCATACGATCGCCGACTCATCGCCGACATGGGCAGTGCTAGCGCACCCCGCCCAGGAGCGCGCGGCCTCGCTGCAATTATGGGGGGGGCTGCGCCGACTGATCGGCGATGCACACCGCCGACTGCAGGTCAATGTCCCCCCCGCCCGGAGCTGATCCCCCTCTCACGTCCCCCTGCATGCTCTCGGCTCCGAGGAGGAGCAGCTCTTCTTGATCGAAGCAGAAAATCGCGATAGACATACACTTGTGGCGCTCCGTGCGAAATTTCTTGGGTTCGCGATGGCCCCCCCCCCGCGGCGCCTCTGGCGGCGCCCCTTGCGCGCTCCGCGCGCCAGGGCGGGGGGCCTGGCGCGGATCCGAGAAATCCGCGCGGAGCGCTAAAAGTTTAATTTTGTGGCGTTTGTTCTTCCTCGACTTGAGGCTCAGCTCGCTGTCGTGGCAGCGTTCAGCTCGGAACCCTCGGCTGCTGGGGCGAGGTGCGCGACCGTCCGCGTCCCGCTCGCCGTGTCGTCGCCCTGGCTCCCCTCGGCAACGGTCCGGGTGAGCGGCGGGCAGCGGGCCTGGCAGCGTTATTCATGCACAGGCTCCCCGTTCCAACGCAGCAGCGCAAGCGCAGAAGGAAGGGGGCTGGGTCGAAGGCCCACTCTGCTTCACTGCCCTGTCTATCTGAACTCGCGTGGCGCGTGTCTTGAGCGGCATCTCCTTGTCCGCAGCGTCGATACCTTCGTCCCCCTCCACTTCCTCCTCCTCCTCCTAATCCTACCCTCTCCATCCGAACTGTCGGACGGGGGACCAAGGTGGGAGGGATGTAGCTCGGGCAATTTGGGATGCCATCTGGAAGGCCTCATGCCTTCCTCGAAGACGTCTTGCCCTAACCTATGTTATGTTGACGAATCTAGGTTCACCATATTTCGTCAGCAGGATATTGGGGTGTTCCTATGTTCGTCAAATCCCCGCTCATCCTCCCCCTCGTCTTCCATCCTCCTCCTCCTCCTCCTCCTCCTCCTCCTCCTCATCCTCCTCGTTTCCATCCCCTCCAGGCAGGGCTGCGAGAAGACGCACCTTTGGGGCGCCCTATTCCCGTCCCTCCCGCGCTCCGCGCTTTCCCAGGGGGCTTGTCGGTGAAAGCTGGTATCGGCACCCGGATCGTTGGCTTCCAGGAGGCATCTTCGCCGCCACTGCTGGACACAACTAGGAAACCTTGTGCGCTTGGACCCTGGGAGGATCCAGGGACGCCTTTTGAGCAGCCGGAGTCTCTTCTGCCCTGCTCCAGGCTGGAATGCGAGGTTGTCGTGTGGTTTGGGTGGAGGGACGTTTGGTGGGGGCGTGGGCGGTGTGGGAAGGGGCGGCGGTGGCTTGGTGGGGGTGGCTTGGGTGGGTGGGAGGAATCGAGGGGATCCGCCTGAAGAAGTCCTCCGGGACCTCCTAGCGCAACCCCCGCCCTCCCGTAAGCAGAGGACTGCGGGAAGCCGGGCATGCCAGCGCAAACTTCCGCCCTCCTTCTTTGAGAGCGCCGCCAGGCCGTCCTGTCTGGAGGGGGCCCGTGCGACGAAGACCTTGGGTCCTCCCAGCACCTCTCCGTCCTGAGCTGCACATGGCCGCGCGGGGATTATTTTCCGAGGTATCGGAGTGCCGACAGGCCCCTTCTTGTCTCTGGGGGGACCTGTGCGAAGAAGACCTCTGGGTCCTCCTAGCACCCGTCTGTCCAGACCCAGCTGTCTAGGCCTTCGCCCCGCCGCCTCAGGCTGATCAGTGCGCCCTGCTCCCAGCGGGGTCGGGGAGGACTGAGGTCGTAGCTGCTGGTCGGGGGTCGAGGTTTGGAGCGGATCCGAATGGTCTCCGCCTACCACGCGGGCAGATTGCGGCATGCACTGCACGAGCAGGCTGATTGACCCCAGGGCGGATCCTTTTTCAAGCTTTCCTTCCGCATCCACATGAGCCCCGCTTGGGACACTCCAGGTGCAAGGCGGGTCGCCTCCATTCCTCATGCTACTCCTGGAGGCAGCCAAGGCGGTGCCCGGGCCCCCCTTCCGGGGTGCGGATGTGGGAGACGAATGAGGTCATGCCGCGGCTGGTCCGCCTCCCAGCTGCCCTCGGGTTGCTGTCCCTGCAGCCCCCAATGATCGCCCACAGTGTCATGGCGCCAACATCGCAGAGCGGATTGCGTTCGGAAAACAATCGGATGGGCCCTGAGTGTCCTGGAGGGTTTCGTTCTGGATTTCGAATTGAATTTCGCGCGGATTTTTTTGGCCGGGAATGAAGACTATACCACATCCACGTGCAATTCACTTTGTTTTTCGCATGCCGTTTTGGGGTTGTGCACTGACAGCAATCCACGCAGAAATCCGCTGCACCACGTCTGCAAGGTCGGTGCAGTGAACAGTGGCCACCAACTAACCCGTCCCATCCTTCCGTTAACCGCTTGAAGGCACTGTGAAATCTCCCTGGGGTCTTCTTTACAGGCTCCGGGTCTTGGGGGCATCCGGGGGCTGCTTTGGGTCGCCTCGAGGTCGGCTCGGGCTTGTTTTTTTTTGGGGGGGAAGGGTAACTGTGGGGCCGTCATGTGGGTCCCTTTGAGGCCGTCTTGGGTTCTAATTTTGGGGCAACGTCAAGGGTGGATAGGCTCAGTTAGGGGCGCGTCGAGGATTTGATCTGCCACTGGGTTTGTGTCAGGCATCCCTGGGCGCCTCTTGGGGGCTTGTCGGGGTCTCGTGGGGGTATTTCGGGGGGGGCGTCTTGGAGCCTCTGAGTAGTCGTTGGGTCGTCTTGGGCCAGACTATGGGCATCTTGCATCCGTCTCGAGGTGGTCGGCGACAGCCCTGGTGCTCTGAGGCCGAGCAGGGCGCCGGGAAGCAGAACTATACGATGTGCGCGCGCCAGCCGGGGGGCGTCGGCCCCATCAGAAATCACAGAAACCCTACGAGATCATCAGCACCGTTCTCACACTCCCTCCTCGCGAATATCAGCACATCTCGTTCGCTCTTCTTCGCCCGGACACCGCTTGGCAGCAGTCCGAGCGAGCTGCGGACATGTCAGTTGACGTTTTCTACATCGATTTGCCAGAGATTGCAAGCATACGAAGAATGGGCGTTCTCTCGCTGCCGCTGTTGACGAGCGGCAGAAGTTGGCATAGTCATTGGTCGCATCGTCTTCCCGCCCTTCCCTTCTCTACGTCCGGGCGCCTTCCAGCGGTGGGAGGAGGGCACTTACAGCTTCACTGTTTACGCTTATGGTGACTCTTGGGAGGCAGTCTGTACTGAAGTCTGGAAAAATGCACGCTGCCTGCTTGCAGTGTCGCTGGAGGTTTCATGGCTGGCATGGCTGCATGACTTGCGGCCAGCTGTGGAAGCAAGCCGCGGAATGCGCAGGCGTGACCTTTCACCGCTTAGAGAAGAAGGGCGCTGCAGTGCGCAGTATCGTTGCTGACTTGCGCAGTCTGCCGTTGAAGCCAGTGATTCGTAGCGCTCGGATGGCTGTCCCCACCCATCGAAAGGGAAACGTTGTCGCTTGGATCTCGCCTGCCTTGCTCCACAGGCAGACTGTCGATACTGGAGCATTATGATGTGCGTCGTGCTGTCAATGCAGACGGCGTGGGTTTTGTTGACGGCTGCCGTGACGGAGGGCATGCCGCGACGGCAGTCTGTGCATGTGCCGGAGCAGTCCAGGCGAATGGATGGTTTATCGAGTTGTTGTCTATATGTAGTCAGCTTCTTCGCGCACTCTGTGTAAACGAACATGGGTGAGGCATCGCGGCAAAACGCCTCTCAATTTTTTTGTTCCCTCTACGTGGTGAATCGCCTGTCAGACTGTCATGCGTTGGCAGAGTCTTCGCCTCCGTAGGTTATCCTGTCCTCCCTCTTCCCCTGTTGCGCAGGTGCGCAGGAGAACACATACAGTCACATACAGTTGAGCAGAACCGCGTGCCGGCGATAATACAGAATCCCCCCTCTTAGCCCCTTATTATCTGATTTTCCCCAGGCCCCATGTGGTATAAATGTTCACGACAGGCGGGGGGGCGAACATTTTCATCACCCCCAAAGTTCGCATCACAGCTCTGACCTTCACATCATGCATAGCACCATGAGCAATCCCTCTGATCATTGCTGCGAGTATGTCGAGCAAAACGCCCATGTTCGAAGATTCGCCAAGTTCGCGACCATCCGTTTTTTCGAGGATGTGTCAAGCAACTTTCCTATCGTATACAAAGCAGTGTCGAGACAAAGAATTGTCGGAGTGCCCCAGAAACACATGAAACACACCTACGGTTCCTGCGCCCGCGCCTTTTGCGAATTCCGATGCATACATGTAAAACCAGTGGTTTCACAACATGCTCATAACATGTTGCCAGGCGTGCCTCTCGCGCGCGCATGTCGAAATCATTCGAACGCCTTTGCGCGCGTGCTGTCGCACGAGTCACGCGCGCGCACGCTGTCGCGCGCGCGCATGCTACAACTTTTCATAAACCATCGGTTCCGATGGGGGGTCAAAATCGAGTGTCCCGAGAACATATGTAAACACATGCTTGTGCAACAACAGTTGTCAAAGAAAAAGACTGCGCCCGCGCTCCTGCGAATCCCAAAGAAAGCCGTCGGTGTTTCAGCCTGCCCGTTAAAGTCTGCCAAGCGGCCCCCCCCGCCCCGCATGTCGAAACCACTCGAACGCCCGTGCACGCGTGCTGGGGAGGGGGCGCGGTCCGGCTCAATTGATGCCATGCGGGCCACTCTCGCGCGTCGTCCGCGAGCGCATGCCGAATTCCTTCCAACATTTTCATCACAGACGCGAGGACGCCGTCACCGTCGTCGGCGTGATCAGCATCGGCACCATCGTTGGCTTTGCGCTCGTCGTTGTCGTCGTCGTCGCCAACATCGCTACCAGCATCATCGTGTATATCGCTGTCGACGTTGGAATGATTCCGCGCCCGCCCAAGTCGCCGACTCGCACCGAAATGCCCGTTGGGAAGTGCCCAGCGGTCACTGCCACCGCGGCCGTCTTAGTCGCGCTAAACTAGCTGGCCGCTGCGAGCGCGAGCGCGCGCGGGCTAGCTCGTCCGCAGAGATGCACCAGCCACCAAGTCCTCGTCGCAATCGCCGCCGCATGGGTTGTGCAAACCAAGCTGCGGGCGGGCGGCGTGTGGGGTGGTTGCGCGAGCAGTGGGGTTGAGAACCCAATGCGAACATATCCACTGCAACACAACAGCTGCCCCACAAAAGTTGC